AAGAGTTGCCATAACCATGTACAGTTAGGTACCTGTACATTATCTGTGAGTCATGCTCCACAGCAAACAAGAGTTGCCATAACCCTGTACAGTTAGGTACCTGTACATTATCTGTGAGTCATGCTCCACAGCAAACAAGAGTAGTCATAACCATGTACAGTTAGGTACCAGTACATTATCTGTGAGTCATGCTCCACAGCAAACAAGAGTTGCCATAACCATGTACAGGTATATACTGGTACATTATCTATGAGTAATGCCCCGCATCAGACAGTGGCAGCCCTATCCTATATACATTTAATAAATTTCTAGATTATTTCATCACAATTGTTTCACATTTTCAATGATAATGAAATAATCACATTGAAAATAATACCAGGATTACAATATTACAGATATTGTAGATAAGAGTTTAACATTTCTTTCTGAGCAATTTTAAAGGTAATTTAACAGTTTATATTTATTTACATGCAATAAGATAATTGTGAGGAATGATACCGTGCCTTGATAATCATTGTAGAACATGTGAAACAGTAAATCTAGTACAATGTTTTAAATTAAGGCAGAATATATTCAATGCATAAATATCTACCATTAATTCTGAGGTTTCTGAGGTTTAAAATTTAACAAGAGCCACACTCAAGTATATGCAGCTCTGTTCACATACTTAATAACGTATATATACAATTTGGTTTTATTGTTTGGTGTATTATACATTATGTGCATGTCTGCATTTGGACAAGTATTGTAGATTGGCAAGAATTCACTGGACAGATCATTTGCAGAAGAAATTAACATAAACTGTCTGAAGGATCAGAAACGTATTGAAATTATTTCTATAATTAAATCCACATTTCAATTAAAAATAATTATTTCAATGAATTTCAAAAATAAGTCATTTACTTGAAATAGTGTAAAATCATAGCCTTTCAAAAAGAAACAAAAAGATTGGTGACCAAATTTCACATGGATTTCAAGTTCAGTATAAAATTACCAACAAAGTTTCAATAGTTGCACTAATGTCAACAGTACATTTCACATAAATATAATCTGAGAATTATGTATGGAATGTGAATCAGTTACATGTAGGATACATATCAATGAACTGTAGGTAAAAGTTGTAAGGTATAATCCTTGTGCTGCCTAATCCATCATCCTGTGTAAGTCTGGGGCCTGATGCTTAACTTATATATTAACATTTTGTATTTACTTATGATGCTAACACACAAACAAAAGTTTCATTATCAAGAAAAGAAAAGGGTACAAATTTAAATCTAAAAACAAAAAACAAAAAAATGGCCAATTTTTCCTACTGATGTATATATCTGATAGCTATTTTGCAGATCGCTGTAATAAATGAGTTTCATGAGAAATAAAAACAGTACCAAATCAAAAGAAGCAATCTTTTAGACATTAAAAAAATAAAAATTTGCAGACTAAATTAATAACAAAGAATACGAAACACACAATATCAAAAATGGTTGTGTCATATTACACTACAGTTTGTCCAATATAATGAGTTTTCCTGGTTTCAAAGTATTCCACCCAATTGCACAATTCATAACATTTAGTCCAACATCCTATAAGAACAAAGCAAATTCCAGATTCACAATATCTCCCTCTTCATAATGCTTGGAGCCGTAATAAATATGTCGACAGTATAACATATGGAGTTAAGCAATATTTGAAATAAGCTGTCTTTCCAGGATGATTTGTGAAAATCAATTGGATATATTGTTCCTTTCAAACCTTCAGAAACCCATTATATTGTAATACACTGTGTAAAGACAAACTGCATCAAACTGTTTTTGTTTGGTGTTACAGGATTCTTTTTTCATTGGTTAAGGATATGTACTGAAATATTTTGTAAATTCTTACAAAACACCTTTGTAGAAATGTAGTAACAGATTATTTTGACAATATTTATGTTCTGTTTTATGTCTAGGGCTACTTGTATAACTCCTGTAACTAAATGTCTTGGATAAAAGCCCAGCCTGATTACTGTATATAGTTTATCGCTGTTTTGCATGTTTCATGCAGTATTTTGAGTTGTATACATGCCTTTTGCCAATTACAGTAACTAAAACATTCATCCCAGTGTTTTTCCCATCAACCTCTGTCTGCCATTATATGTCAAATGCTGAAGGAATAACATTAAACCTCTTTATAGGAAGCTTGTTTTGTTAATGGGACAGACTCTAAACTGGACCATCATATTTATCTCAATTATTGGTTATCATATCTAAATCATTGTATTGTGAAAACAATCGATGTAGGTCTCTTCCTCGGTCAACCTCTACTTACAACAGCAGATTTAAGATCTGCCCACATATTTTCTCTCCATAAATCTTTCATCTTTTTTCATAAAGATCAGTTTATCTGTAAATGGTCCAGCTTGTGTAATATTTGACTAATCTTATTTGTGTACTGTGTATCCCTTTGTAGGGAGTTAGTATGTATACACTGCCATACTGCACATGACCACCTACCAATAAACAAGAATGACAACTATCTGAATAATTACTTCATAAACAGACCTACATTGTATATATACATACATATATATAAAGGATTAGGTAGGGAACACCTTAGCCCTCATGATTACAAAATGATTCATGAATTGTATTATTATTGTGATAATAATACTTCAATTAGGCAACATTTTGTTAATTTGAAATGATTTTTTAACATTTGAAGTACCAGAAAATAAATTCCCATAAACAATTTAAACACTACATTTCCAATTTTACTTCAATTTAAAAATGGTTTATGAGCCTTAGATATAAACACAAAACTTCATTTTACTCTCCATATGTATAATATAAAGAATTTCAACCCACCATTATTAGTAATTAACAAAAGGAAGAGCGTGCTATGATTATTTACAGCCAACATGTTCAAACAGGTTCCAACTGATGTAAGAGAATTCAGGAGCAAGAAAGCTTTTTGATTTTATCATTCAATTCTAAGGTTATTACTCCCAAGGGAGGGCAGCTTTCAAAAATATGCCTTGAACAAAAGCTTACCATTTGAAGTATTGATCAAAAGTTAAAAAAACCCTGAATATGACCCACATTTTATTGAATATATTATAAGGAGAACCAAGTACCAATAGTCGATGAAAAAGATATTATTCTGCAACTTCCTGACTTTTTAGGTCTGTAACTGTGGTCAAATCTGAATTAGAAATATTTTATTCAAGAACTTTTGAGTCTGTATGTACCTTGTGGTACATAGTTGACAAGATTTGTAAACTTACTATGGAACATAGTGCTGGTTTATATTCTCGAGATTTTCTTTCAAAAGCTATGTGAATTTTTTACAATAAATGTAAGGATAAAACGATATAATGATCTACCTTCACTGATAACTTGGAAGTGTTTACTCTGACCAAACCAAAGTGAAAACTACAGTGTTGGAGATCACAAAAATTAAAACAGATGTACATCCGGAAGGAATTTACATGAGGTATAAATGTGGTTTTTTCATCTGATATCTATGTTAGGTGTCAATAAGGCATATTTTATAAGATTTCAAATGTAAATTTAGCATAAAAAGATAATAGAAACAGGTCATGACACCATTTAAATGTCAGCCTTGTGAGCTTGAGAAATATTAGAACCCGATGAAAAGCGAAAAGCACATTTTTCTTGTAAGTGATACGTGGCAAACTGCATTAACAGGATCATGAAATTTCACAGGAATATTATCCTGGATAATCATGCATTATTTAAGTAAGTCAAAATTATAGAGAAAGAAAAAATTCCAGTAATCCAGTGAAAGATTATTTCAAAAGTATACTCAAGCACATATATGTAGCAGTAAAGTAAAACATCAGTTTAAAAAAAAAAATCAAAGTATGTTTTATATCTCTACCATTGTAGTAACATATACTTGCACTACAAAACCATGAGCCAGCTTTGTGACCTTTCATTTAGTGTATAAAGACATAAAATAAAATATTCTTTGCCTTGTTTTATGATAAACATCAGAATTAAGCTTGGATATTCATTCCAATTTGCAGGGGAAAAAAGTTGTTTTCACTGAGGATTTTAAAGCGCTAGTAACTTAAGGTAGGTGGGGAAATAGTATTGAAATGACATATTCAGTAAACACTAAAAAAATCAAAACTGATATGAATACCTTGGAACAATCCATAAAATAGTCCACTTTTTGGAAATAAAGACTGCATTTCACAGTTTTAAAGGCTGAACAATATTGTGAGAAATGACAAACAATCCAAAGCTCCAGAAATTTGATTTAAATGAATGTCCTCTTTTCTTGGACAATTTCATTTATATTGAATTAATGAAAGCAAGTTGATGCTCATTTAGTCAAATCCATTTTACTCTCGGAGCATTTATACTGAAGTGTCAATACTGTCATATACTATGCCTATGTATTGATATATATGTATGCAATATGTCAATTAACATTGATAAAAGCTGATTTACATTACACAAGAGTATTAATTTTAATAGCTTTAGTTTTGGTTTTTGACATGTACAGAATAGGAAAATATGAGGAAAAAATCTGCCATCAAAGACAGATGTAATTATATCAGAAATATTTGTTTCTGCACATGATTATGGGTATAGTAGGAAGTACTGTAATCTAACCTGTAATAGTTCTTCATATTGAAATATCATTAGAATGAAGCATGATGGAATACATATCTACAACAGTCTCAACATTTTATCAGAAAATCCTTATTTGCAGTAGTAGCTAGGCATCTAGAAACCAGTATTTCATCAACCTGACAATGTCATTTGTAAAGGGAGCTTTCATTTTTAGTTTTTTCTTTTCCCTCTTTTCTTAAATTAAACATACATCATACCAGTTTATGTATGCGATAAACTTAACACGGCTACCATTTTTCCCACAAGCAGACAAACTTCAGAAGTGTGTTAAGAAATATTTATAGAAGTCATAGTTTTGATTCATTACTTAGATTATGCATATTTAATGCACAACAAAATTTTGAATGCAAATTCTGACTCATGAGCAGTTAATATTTACATAAAACTCACATTATTTCCAAACTGATATTAATAGTGAAAACACTAATGCCAGAAATAATTCATTCTAAGATTATTATACAATGGAAACTCATAGATTTTATATGAAATATTCTGGTATTTTAATTACAAAACTAGTTCTTCATTTAATAGTATTCGCCCTATTTAAAAGTCCTTCCTACATCACATCGTTAATGGTGGACAAAGACTTTTATCAGAATTGATTGATAGTAGAGTATGAAGTATCAAGTACCTGTCCATTTATATTTACTAATCAATTCTATCATCAGCATTTGTTAATGACAGTGCCCCTTTCCCAAACCAAGCACTGAACATTAACATTTATAAATGGGTAACTGTCAACATTACTAAAAACTCTTTTCAACAGAACAAAGCTCAACATCTTTAAGATATCTGCTGATTTGTTTTTACCTATAACACTACAGCACTTACAGAGACAAATTATATTTGACAATAAGAACTGAAATGAATGAAAGTGAGGGAAACAGGTTAGTATTAGGGAATGCTAACTACTTATAACTATGAACATAAGATCAGGTTACACTTCTAAACCATCCAGCGTTCAAGAGTGTTCAGTATTCAACATCCACTCATAATAATAACTGAACAGACTGAATGAATTTGAATTGCATTTTAACGGTTGATATACTGTTTATCTCCTCTTATTAGCCTACCTGTTGAAAAGATACTGCCACGAGAACCTTTCCAACCAATATTGTAACATCTGTGTCGTATAAACAGATAAACAGTATGTTGATACAAAGATAGATGTATCCTTGTTCATCACTTTGTCCTCAGTAAAACTGACATTAAATCTGTAGCAAACTTTAATCAAAACCTTTGTATGTGTCTTCAGCTTCTGTAGTTTTCAAGTGAAAAACACATGATTTTAACTCCATAGCAGAACTGAACTGCAATTGCACAGATTTTCTCCTTCTGATGTCCAAGGAATAACATTCTAAAGCCAATTTAGAACTGAAATCCATCCACGGCAACATTTTCTGAAGGGTTGAATTGAAATTGCTGAGAATTCTCATCAATTTGGGGTGCTACTGTTTTGTCTTCCTCTTCAGTCCCAAAATATCTTTCTATCATGTCAAATGCTTTTTGATATATTTCTCTGTTTTGATGACTTTGTAGAAACTCTATTTTGTCTAAACCTGAAATGGAAGAAATATTTAAATCACAATACTTACATGAACAATTTCATACTTTTTCTAAAAGACACTTTGCCAAGAAATATAGTATACCAAGTTAATTTCATTCATCTGTTGACCATTTTTACATGATACTTTAGTAGACAGCACCGACATGGGTAACACTACATCCCCCCCCCCCACTTCCCCACCCTATATGGATAGGAATGTCCCTCTCTGAAAATGTTTGGACAGTAATATGATGATCTTGACCTTAAGAGCCCTTAAACACATGAGCTCATTCATCTTATTTTCCTAGTCATTCTTTGCATCAAAATCTGTCCCTATACAAGACAGCATTATAGAATTATGGAGATTAAGTGAAACAGTATCACCATCAATTGATTCACAGTACATACAGGGTCAACATTGTGTTCCTATTAGGATACTGCCAGTAATATTGATAACAAAACCCAAGAGAGACATTGGCATACAAGCAAGCCATCCTTGGCAAAGAGAAACTGTCATAAAATCTTAGTGATCCACAATAAAGGATTGACAATGGACCTTTTATACAAATTTATAATTCCTTCTGGTAGTTGTATCAGTGTTGGTTTTTTCCCCCAGCCCATACAACCCCTCGCGCCCTTTTTTAAATATCTGGAGTAGCCAATAGCGTAAGAAACATGGTCATATTTCTAGGTTTATTAATGGAATGTTAAATAATATCAACATTTCTTCATTTACCATAGCATTCCTCGATCATAACAGCGTATGGGTTTGTGCCATTGTGTAGTTTTGCGTCCTGTTCTCCCAGCTTCAGGATATTTTCCAGGCCATTTAAGGCCACTTGTACAATCTTTGCATCCATCACAGTCAAAAGATCACATAGTGGGCTTATGCAGCCTTGATCCACCAGAAACCTGCAAGAAAAAATACCTCATAATATACAAACACAAAACCCTAAAACCTGCCTATCAATATCATAACAAATGGAACCTTTCTAAAGTAAACCTATCACATGCAACTCTCTTACTAGGCTATAAACCAAAACATTTTTTTTACATTACACAAGAATGCAAAGTTAATGTTGACATAACTTCTTCTTTTCCTACTAAAATTTTATAAATGGTTCATTTGTCGATGTGAGCTAGACTTAATATCCTAATTTTCACAAAATATTTCATCTGCAGTTTAGACTTTGGATCTTTTGATCTGGGGAAATTAAAAATGTCCTAATTTTCACAAAATGTTTTAGCTGCAGTTATATCTATGGCCACCTAAATATTACCTGATCTGTTCAGGGGAACCACCAGATGTTGCATTTGTTATGGCCCAAGCCGCTTCCTTCCTCGTTTTAAAATCTGCTTTTCCTAATATATCTATTAGTACTGGGAATATATTTGAATCTATAACACACTGTAAAAGAACACATCAGTATAGAATTATACTAGAATAAAACAGAAACAAGAGATACATGGTGTCTATATAAAACTCAATTGTTTTTAAGGTTCTTAATATACAATTATTTTGACATTTTAAGGAGATATAACTGTATTCAACTAATTTGACAGCAGTTTTGAGGATCTTCAAAGCAGGTCACTGAACATTAAAATATCACTTCAGATTTGCTTTTATGTTGATAAGCCCCCTCCAAATCAATGTCTTCTTAGCTCTGAGACAGCAATTTGAATTAATATTTGTATCTAAATTTTCAACTTTAGTTCATTCATACATGAGTCAAGTCATATATAATTTAGTATGAAACTATGTGAGAAATGAACAGTTATTGGATACAAATTAGAATTTTGTGCATGAATTTACATCAGTGTTTATTCTGAAAACTTTACCAAGTGAAAATTACTTACCTGTATTTGTACTCTGTTTCCTGCTGTAATATTTGATATTGTCCAACAGGCTTCTTTGCGTATTGATTCTTTGGAACTACTGAGAAGATGTAAAAGACATGGCAGCGCTGAACAGCTCAAAATCACCTGCAAATATAAACAACAAATCAATCATCATGACAGCCAACATTTTCCCACAAAAATATCAAAATATAAGCAAAATATATTCAGTAAAAGGGTATTAAGGTAACAGAATACAATACAGTTATGTTTTATAGCCTGTCTGCTTAAATTAAGCCCATTTCCAGTAGTGCTGGAGAAGTCTGCCAGATAGCAGGCGAAAGTTACATACGAGTTAGTATTTCACTAAAAGCAGAATCTAAAATAATTTGAAAAAATAAATGATTACAGATATTAATCCTCCACAGCTTCTCTTTCTGTTATAAATAGAAACTCCTTAATATTACTAGAGTAACATCACTTGTGTAAACATGAAACACGTTGTTTAATATTAATTTCATTTCCACACGTCAAAACATATTTCTTTACAGAGAAATAACTCTAACTGGGTGTATTAAGTTTTTAATAGATAATTTAAAATCAAATGAATATTTCTGAATCATTATTAAACATTATGTCATATTCAGAAAGCTGTTCGTTTCATGTTCTGGTCCAATACACTTAGGTAACTTTGACTACCAGACTTACCTCCCTTCCTTAGGTTCAACATTAACACAATTATTTCAGATTTAGATACCATGAGACATATATGATTCACAACATATGTGATATTCTGAAATATGTATAATCTGTAACAACTATGGTTTCATTTTATATTTTTGATAACGGTGTGGAATCCGCGCTTTAAGGATATGGTTCTTAGAACAGTAATGTAATATTGCTAGATTTTCCCAACAGCATACCTGTGTTTGATAGTCATCACCCGTCACTATGTTTCCTACCACACGTAGGGCAGCAGACACCACACTCTGATGATTGTGCCTGGTAACATCAAATAAACATGTCAATAATGGCAATATAGATATGCAGCATTGAAAGTGTATCTTTACTTCGAAATATTTTGACCTTCCACTATTTTCAGAAACTTACAAGAAAAATTCTTTGTCTCCATTCAAGTGTTTACAATACTGAAATTGTAATCTTTTCACATTAATTAAATGTCATTTATCTGGAAATTCATCGCTAATAATTCCCTTACATGAGGAGTTCTACCAGTCTCCGACATACACCAGAATCTATCACAGCTTGTATTTTCTCATTTGGACCATCGGACAGGTAGGAGAGTGCCCAGCAGGCATCTGAGAGGACGTCTTTGTCTGTGTGGAAGAGGAGCTTTGCTAATACTGGCAGGGATGGCAACACCTAGAATACAAGCAACCAAAAGTGTTTTAAGTTAGTTTTAATGAAACTCAAATAACTGAAAGATTTTAGATTCACAGCAATCATACAATGATATTTGGCTAATATAACGCCAAAGACCACTTAAGTGTAGGTCTGGTTAAACGTTACGTTATAAATATTGTCCATATAACATTTAATAAGAACAGTTTACTATCATAAAGTTACATGAGCTATGCAAAAATGACAGGTTCCACAAATTTTCCACTGAGGTGCATGGTACAAAAGAACAAATTATCCCTCTACATGCATTTTAACCTTTACTGTTTTTCTGTATGCTTAATCAAATTACTGCACGTTAACTACTTTTTCTCATGGGAACAAATTAAGAAAACACATCTGAGCTTTGATACATGTCAACGTCTGTTGTTTGAAAAATGCAATTCTAAAACTAACCTTGCTGAAATCAGGTGGTGGATTTTTCCCTCTACATAAATTGGACAAACACCAAACTGCATTTCTTGTCATCGATAAACTTGTTTTCTTGCTTAGTAACCTAAATAAGAACAAAGCAGTTTTACAAGCATGGGAAATCAGCCAATGAAAATACCCCCGTAAATACCATAAGGTGTTACAAAGACAATACAAGATTGGACATTACCAATCCCTTCATAAATATACTACAGGTTGTTACAGGTCGTGTTAATTCCCCACACATCATCAGCAAAACCTAATTATGATTTAATTGAAGCAATAATAATGATGTCTCAATTCATATACATATGAACTTTTCTTTGGGTAAATTTGCAAAATTAAAAGTTAATAAAATAAAACAATGCCTGTTGGAGATGAGTTATCTTTCACGAATGGGACAAAAATTAAAAAGGAAAAATAACAAATGGTAATAATTCCTAAATAATACGAAGAGAGTTATGGTTCTTGTACACTGCATTTTTCATCAAGATCCATCTACCTATGAAGTTTCATATTGACACCTTTTATAGTTTTTGTGTTTTGATCCAGACAAGATTCTGACCGATGGACAAATGGACAAACTGATGCATAAACTTCAGGAAGTAAATAAACAAGACATCCTCAGGATCTAGGTGACTTCCACTTCATGAATTGAACTGTTTGTAACTTTTAATCATGTGATATGTTAACTCCCAAGTAGTAAATGAGTTTTGTGAATACACATTATACATTTCTGGCATCAGTTTGCCATGTGGATTTTCCAGTCTCAAATTGCCTCACAGCCAGCAATGCATTCTGCTGATCAGTCTTGACATTAAATAGCAATGTTAGAACTCCCAACCACAATAAGATAGAAGTAAGAAATTTCAAAATATCTATCAATCTTGTAAAACTAATTAACAAACAAGAGAAACTGCTGAGGATGAATGATTATATCCGAGAATACATCAAACATCACATTTCAGTAAAGTAAAAATATATATCCTTCAAATATCTTTGATAAAACAATTCATCCCAGTAATAGATAAAAGTAACTTACTGTAAAAGTGGGACGAGTATTCCTTCACCCAAAACATAATCTCGACACTCTGGACTGTCACCAGCAATATTTCCAAGAGCCCACACAGCCTACAAATGCAAACATTCTTGTTTGATTAAGTTCATACACATTCACATTGTGACAGTACCTTTCTTTCCAGTTGTCCGTTTAATAAGGAAAAGCAACCTGACTCATATATCTAGAAAAGAATTATTTGAAGTTTAAAGCAAACTTAGTTGTTAATAATATATCCGAATATATAAAAACTTTTTGAAAAAAACATTTTTGCTTTTTTTTTTATCGAGGTCTTGTGGCTTCTTGAGAGTGTTTTTGGTCTAGCACGTAATTTGAAGTACAGTAATAAGCATCACATGAAAGTCCTGATTTATTGACTCCTAACACAATCTTAGTATACAATATAATTGAACTGAACACATTTTCCAAAACAAAAATAACCCAGGCCTTCGTTATGCAGGGAAAATTACCTGTTCTTGCACATCCTCTATTTCTGAGGCTAGAAGTCTGATAAATATAGGAACAGCACCAGCTTCAATAACAATTCGGGTCTGTATGGATGTACCAGAGGCAATATTTGTTAAAGCCCATGCAGCCTCAAACTGTCAAACAAAAAAGTATATATATCAAAATCTGGCATTTTAACATATGATGAGGAACAAATATTGTACATTAATAATGTAAAACATTTATTAAGCTAGCAAGATATCACAAACCAGGTAAGATTACATAAGGCACAATTACTATGATGACAGAAAGTGTAGTGGTCAGTAAAACATCTATGAAAGTCTATTGAAGAGAATGTATGTTCAGGACCAGCATCTAAAGTTTACTATGGGTCTTTGTGCAACATTTGTTGTGCTGCCTCTTTGTACAAGAATTTTTTTTTTTTATTTCTCCTCAATTCATTTGCTGATTTTGATGTTAAGAATTTTCTTTCAGAGCTATCAACCATGATAGTAATTAAGATATTCACAACTGCAAACTATAAAATTGCTAGAGGTCATTTTGTATCATATCATGTGGTTACTACAAAAACATGGTTTATACAGGAAATAAAAATCAGCTGAGTGTGAAACAACCTTAATGATTTACAAAAGCATGACTTACTTGCAGAGTGCAATTTCCATCTTTCTGTAAGAATTCTACAAACTTTGGTACAATCCCTGTCTGTATAACTTCATCTATTGGGGGATTTGGTTCTGAAACAAAAGGAAACTTTCAAATACTTGAGCAAAACTATTTCCTCTGGTATATATATTTTTCTCCATTTACAACTGACATATGAATTTCAATCCATCAAAGGGAAATTTTCTGGCTCAAGTCATCAGTGAGGGTTCCTCCATAGCAGAAGGCACTATTAGATTACCCTATCTGACAAGTGGACAAATTCTGGTATAGTAGTCTTTGACAGTTTTAGAGCTGTGGCTGTGATAAAATGAGGTAAGATCAATGGACAGTGCCTAGTTTTCAAAGCAGTTGTGTTAACCATGCCACTCTATAATGCATTAGATTTCTTTAGATAATATAAAGTTTTAACAATGTGCCAAACAATCGGACATAGATTTTAACAGTCATGGAAGATTACAACATTGTCAGACCTCAGTCCTACACATTAAACCACCTATTGTGTATTACCTCTTGAAAGGAGTTTTCTGAATTTTTGAGTTGCAACTTCTTGTTCTTGTAAATTGTCACTGTATAAAACCTGTACCATTTCTTGGGTTATTCCACCCTAGAATAAAATTAAGATATATTATCTCACTGTTGAATCTGCTGAAGAACGATGAAATAACATCTTAATTACAAATGACATACAACATATTTCAATGCAAAACATTTGTGATAGGCTAGCTTGTGACATACTACCTTAACATTCAAGCATGAATAAAGACTGATGACTAAATGGTTAATAGCTACACCATACTAGGGCAAATGTAATCCACAGATAGCTAGAAATATTCACGACTTATTATTATTATTATTGATACATATAATATAATACTAACATTTGAAGAGATAACAAAATCAAAATGCTGAAAAAAAGGCAGTAACCCTTTGAAATATTAGTTGCATCAAAATGCAGTTCATGCAAACGTAACTTCAAGTCATGATTTTAAAGCCTACAAAGTATCAGGAAATGGATTAAAAATTGAGACAGGAGATGACAGGCATTAACCAGACAAGATTAAAATAAATATGATAATGGAAAAAACAAGGGGGATGTAACACTACCTAAAATTTTAACATCACAATGCCATTTAGAAAAACACAATTTCAAGTACTGGTTATTAACATAGATTCAAAGAAATTGGTTAAAAACTAAGGAAGGAGATCTCTGTGCATGATTAAAATGCTGAAAAATACAAGGGGCAATAACTTTTTCATAAAAAAAACCCACAAAAACATTGTAGAATCAAAATGAGTTAAAGAAAACAATTCCTTCCACAGTTATTAAGTCTATAAAGTATGAAAGAGTATGATTGCAAACTGGAAGGGTTTAACTTCATATAAGATTAATATTATGAAAACAACATGGAATGGTGTAACTATCTTTCAGGAAAACACAACTTCATTTCATGGTGATTGAGTCTACCAAGTTTGAAAGAAATGGGTTGAAAATGCAGAACTGACATCTCCAAACAAGATAAACATAATGAAAACAACAAGGGGCAGTAGCATTCCTGTCAAACTGCACCTCATGTTAAGGTGATAAGTCAACTAAGTTCTGTCATCAGAGTTCAAAGTTTATGATGGACGGACAAACAACACCATACCATAATATGTATAGAAACTCATTATGTTTAAATATCAGTACAGTATTGAAATATTCATGTAAGACAGAGTATGCATCTAAAATTTTTAATTCTCACATATGTATATACACCAATTTCACTCTGCAAATAATTGGAATTAAAGAAGCTATTTCAAAATTTACCGTGTATGGGGTAGACGATACAAAGTTGTCCTGAAAGTCTCCTGCCACTTCATCAGGTGATCCAGTAGGCATAGCAACATTGCGACGCTTGAATAACTGAACAATAACAAAGAAAATAAAACTCATATAATTTGAGCCCAAAATTCTTTTAGGTTTTCAATCATACAACTTAAATTGCATACTCAAGGATGTAAAAATATTAAGTTATAATGACTATTTAGTGCAGATTTATTTTCTGTTATTTTGATTGTTCAAACTGAATACTGTATTCGATCCAATAAGCACCTATGTCCCTATAAGCACCCCCTCCCCCCTTCATATACCTAAAAGTCTAGATTTACTTACATATTAGTCACGACCAAGGATTGTTTTAAGTCGGTTTATAAGGAGATGTACTCCAGAAAAACTTTAATAAAAAGTTTATCTCCAGTCCACCAGCAACAGAGGAATGTCGACAAGTGTCCTCTGTAACTAATACCACAATTTTCCCACTATGCCTGATAAGATTAAGAAATGATATTTTCAGGTGTGATAGATTATCTGACAGAAAGAAATGAAGCAGTTAAGATATCAAATGACAAATAAAATAGTTGTGCTAAAACAGGCAAGTATGAATGGAACTTTATATCTTTATCATAAACAAATTCCCTTTTGTGTCATCATGTTAAGATGTTCTGAAACAATTTATCGACGAGCACATAATGACAGAGTGCACCTTGTTACATAGAGGTTGACACTGAAATTATAGCGACCACAGACACATCACAATCTCACAAAGGGGGCCAAATCAAGTCGTATGAAATTTCTTTCAAGTTAAAAGTTGTGGAGCTTGCCAAGGAATGGGGAAATAGCAAAGCATCAAAGCAGTATGGTATAGATAGGAAGCAAATTCGCAATTGGAGACAAAAAAAAGTGAATTGAAAACCTCTTTACAAAACACTTCAAAAAGGAGACGTAAAGTTCCTGGTGGAGGCAGATTTTTTAGCACTGAATGTGTTTCTTTAACATCTAAGATGGTCTCTAAGCGCCACCTTAATTGTATTTTTTAAGTGCCCTGGGTGCTTATTGGATTGAATATGGTAACCTTTTTACGCTACATACAACTTTTTCAACTTTTCATTTCAAGAAATTAACAGTACAATAAGACTTTTGTTCCCTACTGTAATATCATTTCCATATTATATTCATACCATAATGTACAAGAGTCATATTTTCTTCAGAAACACAATAAACTGACATGAAAACCACCTAACAATAAGATTAACTATCATCATTCTAAAAGATTCTTTTTTGTTATCCTACTTGTTGATCTCTCTTTTGTTTCCTGATCTGAATGCCTTCCTCTTCCCGCCTTCTACGTAACTCTTGTGAATCCAATGCCTTGTTTTTGTAAGCCTTCAATCTATGGCTAGCAGGGCTAGATGAATCTGCAGACATCTGGAAGGAAAAATTCAAATTCCATTGTAAGAGAATTCCTTTCAAGTATGGCATTAATTTAGAATGGTTCAAAATTTCAATTCCTATTTATCTATCTATATATAGAGAGAGAGAGAGCTATCTAATCAAGAGCTGTAAACTTTACCAAATATTCAATCATTCATTGCAAATCACCATAACACATTTTATACTTTATTGTCATAACCTGTTACTGTCACTAAAATTTTCCTCATTTATGAATGTGATTGATGATTGTGATTGGAAATCATAACTGAAAATTTCCTCTGTTTCAAATTTCAAACCAGTAAAGGGATATTCTGTCCAAGTTGCAAAATTTCTGGCTGTTCTTTACCTTTTAAGAATTCATTCTAATGACTTATAAAACTATTGTGAACATCAAAAGATGGACAGACAAAGTCTGTCTGAAAACTCCTGGCCAAACTGTCTAAATATAGTGCAATGGGGAATCTGGAACTGAAAGATCAATGGATCACAGATTTTATGCAGAGTATTGAGTAAATACACAAGTGTGTATGCTGTTCACTAAGGTTTCTGCTGGGGTTCCAATTATTTATGTCGTTGGGCTGATTTTCTGTTGATTTTATAATTTACACCTTATGACAATGCAAACCTATTATGAAGCAATCAGGGTTGTGCTAATGCTTGTAAATCAATCTAGCTAGATCTATAAAAGCTTTCCACAATTCAAATATCATATGTTCACTTAAATGGTAAATTGAGATGTACAATATCCATAGGAACATAATCAGATGATGTTGTACAGTTTTGTTCAAAAGGATCTCATGGAATCCTAACATGTGCTGAATATCCCTTGTATCGATTTGTAAGGAGTTCTATCATACATAAATTTCAAAATTCATTTTTATGGGGCCATAAGTATATTGATGTACAATTAGACCATTCAGTAACATTTTTTTGAACTTTTCATTTGAAATTTCTGTCAAAACAAAAGAACAATAATGAAGCTAAAGAGTACGACATGCATAGTTGTTCTTACATATTTCAATCTAGGTAAAAATATTCTTATTTTAATTTTGACAACCTAATGTTTAGTACTATTCATTGTGTTTAGGAGCAGAAAATCTGGTCTTTAACAGTGATGACATTCTCTTTATTTTTTTTGTTTTTCAATAAATCTGTCAGGCTCTTTGTATGTTGCCCGTGCACTATACCCTACACCAAATACCACTGTTTGATGAATATTCAATGCCAACTGAAAATGATGAACACAAACATATATCTTGTGGTACATGATCTTTTTTCCTGTAATATATACATAGTACTATTCCCATTAACTAGTCAATCCATACTACTATACAAATGTGAGTCTGACGAGTGATCTATTAACTTATGTTTTTGTTTCTTTAAAATGTCCCAAGCATAAAAATGCCTTAAATAGGTGTTATATCGCTATTGTTTCCAATATGACTGGTTTTGTAACTGTGGACAAACCTCAGAGACAGTACAAAATGAAAAAAAACTGGCAATAACTTTGTAAACAGCAGTAGAAGGGCAAAAATCCTGCTTGTGATACGACACTTCTGCAATGAATGAAGTATATGGGTGTACTTTATAGATGGTGACAGCAGAAGGCTTGCCCATACAATTGAGATAGAGACAAAAACAACAGCTATTAATTTTTTTCTAAAAGAGACAAAAACAGTTTATCAAGAAGCAGAAATTTAAATCAAATGGAATACGACAAGGTCTTGGAATATTGTCAAATAATTCATAGACCCTGACCATTCTCTGTAACTGCTTAAGTCCTTGCAATAGAATAAATCAGCACATTTAGGCTTCTGTGCTGATTAATATTTGTTCATTTCTAAATGGTTACACAATGATGTCCATGCATTGGCCACAGTATCATTTATGCAATAAACCATAAAGGCTTGTCGAAATATCAATTTGTTAAATATCCATGTTCAATGATTTGGAGATGGGCAGAACTAACCCAAAAATCAAAGTCAACTGGAAATCAATCCATCATGACAAACCCCTGTGCCCATACTCATTGGTAATTTGGGCCTATAATGAAAAGATAACTCTTCTCTAGACAAACCCCTTTAACTGAGCTAGTAAGTACTGTACCATATGTATTTCACGTTTATATTCAATCAATAACATCTTTTCATCAAACTGCCTAAATTCTTAGCTAAAAAGTTGATAGTAATAAAGTAATTTTTTTCTCTCTATTTCCCTTCTTGAATCGAAAGAACCTCCATGCGACATTTCACCTGGTCATGTATACAGGACAGTTAATTGCCTTGAGTTGGCTCACTTCTTGGAAGGTTAGACCCCATATGAATATAGCCATTCAAAACACATGACAAAATGTTAACCGTGACTATAAATTCATTCCGAATTTGACACTAAATAGTTCGATCGTAACTGTCTCTGATAAACCACTTGTTTCGTGGTGTAATTTTGTACGACGTCTGAAAGAATTCTTCGTGCCAGTCTGTAATGTGGTCGAATGAAGTTTGCTTGAATTCATATTCTAAACGAACATCGATCTCATTACTCACTTCGATTGGCATTTATGTGTAGAATTCAGTTCCCAGTGCCGATTCCTAGTTTCTTCTCTTTCACTTCGACATTCACAAATAAAAGACGAAGCGAGCATGCGTTTCCGTCAGATGTTATTTCGCGGAAAAATAAAATACTTCTTTCCCGCAATAATAAAATCATTGAAACTATACATTTTCAATAGAATAAATGTAGAGCTTTAAGCATAAATATACAAAAACGAACGTAAAATTTATATTTACGTCATATAGAGATTTACCGTGATTACAGTTGCAACAACATGGCTGCCTCCATAAACGAGGAATGTGACTGCAGCGATTTTCTGAAATTTCAGGTATTCGGAGATACTCACACTTATAAGTGTCCGACATTGTCTCTTTTTATTATTGATGGTCATATGAAGCAAACTGTTTTTATACATGAAATGGAAGTTTATTAATTAAGATCAATAATATGACAATCGTGTTTCCCACGAGTTAGCACTAACCGGTAACAAGAACGATAACTTTCAGATTTGGAGGTGACTCTTTGAATCGGTACTTTTGATATTCTGTCAAAATTTGGGTTACCCTAGTATTCAACTGGGCGTTATTCCAATAATCAAGCGACGATAAACAAACATAATTATTTTGCGTATATTTTGTTACATTTATAACGTTGATTATCTTTCGTAACCATCAAGAACGACAACTGTTATTTGGAGTCCTGACCTTTGATAGGTCATCGTGACAAACAAGAACTGCACATGATTGGTGTTCCTATGTAATAAACACCGAGAAATGTTGCAGTTAAAAAAAGCCTTCCATTGATATACATATGTCTTGGTTTGTGCTGCTTTTTAGCAGGTTGGGCACCACCTCTGATATGGGTAATAGTCCTGCATTGGAGGGATAGGTACTGTTTGAATGATAATCTAGTTACTCAAATGCAGGAAAATTTGCAAAAGAAACACACAAATTCTTGCAATAAAAAAAGCATCATATTTTGACATGACGCAATAACCAATGCTGTCACTGGCTATGCACTGAAATCAATGGAGAACAAATTCAGTGATATAATTTGTCATTCTAACAGAGTTGGAGAACATTTCCTATGTACACTATCATATTTGCTATTGGGACATGTTAAATAGGTGACTCTCTTTTTAGTTGCATGTATTTTCAAACAATTTTAGAATGACCTTGTATTTGAATTACTAATTGATTACCAAAAGCTATGACATGAAATAGTGTTCTTGTGAACAATGCATTGATTCAACAAATTTTTAAGGAGTTATGCCCATAAACTTCTTCAGCATAGTAATCCTGTCCAGAAAATTCTTCTCTCAGTTTTCAGTCCACCTCTTTAAAACTTGGCATACTGCAATTTTAATTCAATGTCAATCAAAACTGGCCACCTTGTCTCAAGAACTGAGATATTTCAGACTTATTCTTGAGTCCACAAGATCAATTACACTGAACTTTCATTCAAGGTTGAATAGTTCCTGCTTATACAATGTATTATCTAAATCCTTGGGTTGTTAAGAAATCCAAAACAGTATTGTCGTAAAATTCAACTGTGGGTCCAAATTCTGGTATCATACACTTTTCCTTCGTAGGGACTTAGCAGGACTTCCCTACCCATAGTTGTTATAAAGGTGTTATAGCGACTGAAATATTTATACACTTTTTATGTGAATGCCAAGTCCTTGTGTTCCCCTAAATATAATAATAATTAAGAAATTGATTAATTGAAGTTCATTATTATTATCAGTTTTGACTGGCAATGATTCAGTACAGCAAAATGTGCCTCTTGTATAACTAACTTATGTTAAAATAAGATATTTTCACCAGAATATAACATACCTGGTAATAACCTGATGTTATTGTGCAATTATTATTGATTATTTCTAAACACAGATGTTGTGAATTTTTTGTTGAATATTTCTACACACAGATGTTGTGGTGTTATTGTTGGTAATTATTTCTACACACAGATGTTGTGGTGTTATTGTTGTTGAATATTTCTACACACAGATGTTGTGTTGTTGAATATTTCTACACACAGATGATGTTGTGTTCTTGTTGATTATTTCTACACACAGATGTTGTGGTGTTATTGTTGTTGAATATTTCTACACACAGATGTTGTGGTGTTATTGTTGGTGATTATTTCTACACACAGATGTTGTGGTGTTATTGTTGGTGATTATTTCTACACACAGACGTGGTGTTATTGTTGGTGATTATTTCTACACACAGATGTTGTGGTGTTATTGTTGGTGATTATTTCTACACACAGATGTTGTGGTGTTCTTGTTGATTATTTCTACACACAGATGTTGTGGTGTTATTGTTGGTAATTATTTCTACACACAGATGTTGTGGTGTTATTGTTGGTGATTATTTCTACACACAGATGTTGTGGTGTTATTGTTGGTAATTATTTCTACACACAGATGTTGTGGTGTTATTGTTGGTGAATATTTCTACACACAGATGTTGTGGTGTTATTGTTGGTGAATATTTCTACACACAGATGTTGTGGTGTTATTGTTGGTAATCATTTCTACACACAGATGTTGTGGTGTTATTGTTGGTAATTATTTCTACACACAGATGTTGTGGTGTTATTGTTGTTGATTATTTCTACACACAGATGTTGTGGTGTTATTGTTGGTAATTATTTCTACACACAGATGTTGTGGTGTTATTGTTGGTGATTATTTCTACACACAGATGTTGTGGTGTTATTGTTGTTAATTATTTCTACACACAAATGTTGTGTTGTTGTTGAATGTTTCTACTGATGCTTTCCTTGTTTTGCAGGATCATCTGAAGACCATGCGGACTGTTGATGATAGGATAATACATGCTTTGAACACAGCAATACCCACCAAATTATTTTCAAAGAAAGTAGATGTGTCTGAAACTTGTAAAAATCTTTATGATGAGGTAAGAAAAAACACTTCACTACACTGGGTGAGTGTTATCAACTCTCAAGTCAACATCAGTTAATCATCACAAATATAAATACATAAGCGACACATGCATTTTGGTTGACTGCTACATGGATTTTTTAGTCAGTTTATTGCTTTTGATACCTTTCCAAGGGTCTCTGTGTAAATCATTTTCGTTTATCATGTATTGATCATGTAACTTTCACTTTGAGATATGTTTCAAAGAAAAAAATTGAATGTTCAGTCAGAAATTGCATGTAAAGCATGACTACCAACCAATGTTACTACTGTCCTTCATGTATATAGCTTCTTTAGTGAGTTGGAGGGGGGGTTAAATAGGAAGTATTGCATATACTGTTTTTGTTACAGATTATACAATCGCATGAGATAAGAGAACGGGCTATACGTAAATGTGTAACAGAGGCAGCAAATAGTGTCAAAGAATTGAGTAAGCAAAGAGACAATGATGCGGACAATATGGAGATATTAAAAGATCTACGGAAAGCACAAACAAAGGTAAAAACAGCAACACTATGAGGAAGTCAACACCATACTTCTGAAATTGAAATGAAAAATGCTTCAAATAATGCTACCATAGTAAGACATCTAATGTAAGTAAACATATAAGGGACACAAAAGCATTTTTTTATCCCACTGCACCTCCCATACTTATATGTCAAGTACCCCAGTTCCTTAGTTGTGCCTCTTCAGGATTTAAGACGAACTTAGGAGATAAATGGCCCTCAGATGTCCATCTTGGATGTTGAACCTAAGATTGTTACATTGTGTCGTTAATCGTCAGAAAGTACAATGGGGATCTTTCTAAAATTTCTTGTGAAAGTTTCTCTTATTACATACTGCCAGTACAACAAATAATTACATTGAAAGAGAAATGAATAAGAAAATAAAGAATGGAGATACTGTTATTATACCATCCACATAGAAGTTAGGGAGGTAAACTGGGATTATGGTCCCTGTCTATCTGTCGGGTGAAATTTGAATGTCAGTATCAGGGAAGAAGAAAATGTGTCATATGTCATTATTAGGTATTAGGATAAAGAATGTTAGGTGGTAGAGTTAAAATATCTCATTTATTGGTGTAAAGCTGGTACGTATTATATCATTCTTTTCCAATTATACTAGGTTGAAACAAATGAACATTTTTGTTCATGATGAATATGTTATTTTTTCAAAATTGATTTGATGAACTGCTGTCTCCATTAATAATCTGTATCTAGTTCTAGAGACATTGTCAGTTTCCACTTCTACCTTTAACATATAAAAGTGAACCTAGAAATCTGAATTCCCACTGACGTGGACAGTTTTTATGCAAACTAAACATGACTTTTTGGTAAAATCCAAGTGGTTATCCCCTGAAAATGTAAAGGGCACAGACAATAGTTTGTCTAATGAAAGGTATAATGTCTATAAATGATTAAATTTTATATTACATTAATTAGAATGAAAATTGGTATGTAGGTACTGTCTACTAATTGAGGTAAAATATGTGACTTAAAAGTTGAAGTTGAAGTTATAATATGGCATACCCTTAAAATAGTGAATTTTGTTTTCAGTTGCGGCTAATGAAATCAGAATTCTATGTAGATGAAGTTGTGAATGACAGAACATTTAAAGTAAGTGATCACTATCAAATAACAGCTGATATCATACACATTACTTTTATATTACATACTGTAATTGGCACATCTTGTCATCATGAATCCTAAACTCTTGAATGTTGAAACTGTCTTGAGATACATAATGGTTTGACTTTTCAAGTTGATCATATATTTATTTTGGTAGGTAATGATTAATACCAACCTGTGTCTATTTTTATTTGCTCTTCTGGTCAGTAATTCATTAATAAAATGTTTAGAAGCAGCAACATAGTAATGGTTTGATGGTCATTGTATTAAAAACACAAATTACAAAGAAACATTCCACCAGAGTGACCTGGTTAGTAATTCTGAGTAATGCTATTCCCTTATTTACTTCTTCCTCTCTGATAACCAGAAAGTGACTTCAACACCTAATCAATTTGAAATTTATAACTGCGAGACAGTTTTAATGAGTCTATTTAATTAATTTCTTCTTTCCTATTTCAGGCTTTTTACGAGCGATGTGGAACAGCATACAAGTTTCCAAATAAACCTATACTGTGAGGATTATTATACTAAGACATTGCGTGTAAGGTGTTTTGTTTGCTGGACGAGTGATAAATTACAATGATAAATAGAACAGTGACACACTGTAAAGGGAACAATAGAAGATGTAAATGTTTAAGTATGTGATAAAACTCTTGGAGGATTTCTACTTTGCATGGTACCATAAATGATGATGTGTATGAATGTGAAGAAGTGATGACAAACAACCAAATTCATAAGTGTTCAATGAATACTGATAACAAATGTTAATACATATAATGTTTGGTAATTTTTTAATCAACTGATCAGACAACTTGCAGAGAAATACCTCTCCATTGCCATTGGAAACATTGCTTATTTTACCCTTTTAATTGACAGTGGAATAATGTAACAGTTCTCCATTGTTTGAACTGACAGAGGAATAATGTAACAGTTCTCCAATCTTTGAACTGACAGAGGAATAATGTAACAGTTCTCCAATCTTTGAACCGACAGAGGAATAATGTAACAGTTCTCCAATCTTTGAACCGACAGAGGAATAATGTTACAGTTCTCCAATCTTTGAACTGACAGAGGAATAATGTAACAGTTTTCCATCCTTGATATCCTGATAAACAGTAAATGTTTCGCAATCAAACCAAACATTAAATTACATCTTGGTAAGGACATCCAATTAATGTTAAGATAAAGATTACGAATTTCACCACGACAAACCAGGAAGGTCATCACATTCAACACAATCCAGATTTGATTTAAGATTATTTACAGTTAATTAAAACAATTGAAATGACAGTTCAAGTGTTTTTTATTTTCCTTTTTGGATTAATGTTCAGCTCAATTTGTGCTTTGGCAATTTATAATAGCATGTAAGTATTGAAAAATACTTAAGAGGAAGTTGGAGGTGAAATGTTTTTATAATTGTTAATGCATTTTGATATTGGCATTTCCTATCAAAACTGAAAAAGTGAGGCAGGCAACACAGATGATTATGGACAATAATTGCTTGGAAAAAAAGTCAGCTAAACCAAAATTTACAGATCTAATCACAAATCTCTGCACAGAGGGTTCAAACTAAACCTCATAATCTATGAAGGACATTAAAACAGAACTGAGCGGTATTTTAGGTTTTAATTTTTAGAAGATAGGCAGTAATCTCCCTTTAGATGACTGCTTTTTGTCCTAAGCATGGCAATGCAGTTATAACAGAATTTTATTGTATAATCAATCTATAAACCTCTAGAATGAAGTTTCAGTATGTCATAAATGTATTGTCTACTACAACCACACCTATTAGAAAGTATGCATTTGTCTGTCTCTATTTCTCGAACATAACTTCGTAATTGTTTCAGGTATGCATGTCACATTTGGAGAGACAGTCCATCTTGATTAGGCGATGTATAACATACTGAAATATGGCATTCCAATCAGCATTAATCATTAAATATTTTTAGAAGTACATTTGATGGATTGTATCATTAGGTCATGTTGACCTAGTGCGATTGTTCTTTGTCCATTGTCATGCATCAACTTTTTCTTTTGTGAATATATACTACTTGATTTATATAAACATATTTTGATAAAACTAGGTGTGTGGCCTGATATTAAAAGCATCTCAGATGAGTTCAACATGGGACTGATTTAATGGTAATTTACAGTTATGGTCCTTTTCAGTTTTATTACCATTGAACCTTGTGAACACAATAACTTGAGTAAATATAAACAGGTTTTGATCAAACTTGGTGTGCTGCCTGGGACTTCTTTAATTGTAATGAATAGAGCTATTTTATTGCGATTGAACAATGTGAACACGATTTGAATAAATATGAACAGGTTTTGATAAAAAAATTGTATGCAACCAAGCTAAGATCTCAGAGAAGTTTGACAAAACCAATTTTATGTAATACAGAAAGAGATATTGTTCTTTGTAGTTCAGGTTGAAAAATTAATTAGGTGACTGTTTAGGCCAAATGGCCTCTGTCGTTTATTAGGGTGATTAGATTAAATTGTTAGTGATTTTGTTTGCTGAAAAAATACCTATTGTACACATGTACTATGTATATGTACATGTACAATGTATGCTCATTTACAAGTGTATTGATTAAATTGATTTCTAACAAAGATTTTATTTTGTTGTAATGTTAACCAATCTTCACCAGGAAGAAAGCTGTTTGAATCCGTTTTATATATGGTCCGTCCTCTGTAATCTTCTACTTGAGCAATCATTTCTTTAATGAATGTGTCATATAGCAGTTAGATCATACCTGGTAATAAATCCACACATATTTATTGCTGTTCAAAGCTATGTTTTGATAATAAGCACATTGCCAGACCTTAGCCTAAATCTGTACACATTGTTTCTGTCCCATCATTTTCAGCTCACTGGCGTGTAACCTTGACCTACCTAATGGTGTTGCACCAGACATCAAATCTTTATAGAGTAAGTTTATCCTAAGCCGCTACAGTTTAGAATAGACACTTGATAAAAGTATGTGTGAATTTACAGCACTTCAATGTTGATTTATTTTCCTCAAATTCAAACATATTTCTGCCTTAGTAACTTTTTCTTCCATCATAACTCAATTTTATGGGTTTTTTTCTGCTTATAAATCTGTATGAACACATCTAACATCCCTCCCATCTTGTACAATTGTTTTCGGTGATCTATGACCTAAAAAGAGAGCTATCACATGACTTATCTCAGCCTTATGAAAGACAGCCACTATCTTTACTAAGACTGTTTATACACCACATATTCAGAACTCCCAACCACTGGAATCTATACATGCCTCAAAAGTAATATTGAAATAATGTCTGCATCACTCTGGCAAAAGAGAAATTCCCTTTGGCTTGATCAGTTGTGCTTTAGACTAGACAAGAGGTCTCCAGTTTTATCCTTGAAGGAGGCCTTGGAATAAATAATGACCTTGGTCATATCAGCACCCATGTGAAGACTTGAAGTAATTATTGATTAAACACTCATCATGTTTACTTCACAAGAATTGTTTTAACCCTTAGGAAAACCTAAAGGACTAGTTCTTTACAAAGAGTGTCACCCTGGTAAATACTTGCTGTGATAAAGAGTATACTTCTCAGATAGAAATTACTTCTCTTTGGCTAAATTGTTTGAGCATAAGCCTCATACACCAAAGGTCCCAGGTTTGACCCTAATGGAGGCATTGAAACAAATTATGACCTCGGTTACATTTGTGTTGTAAAACATGAAATAAGCATTTGTGTGGCAGACAGCATAGTTTAATAACAATAATTAAAATATATATATTTCACATTGCATATTTTCAATTCACTCACACAAATTAACAATTAACTGGCTTTCTGTTAATGATCTTGACGCAAAATTTCACTTTTTTTCAGTTCCCTAGATCTGTTAGCTTCATATCTCAAGTTGATTGTGTCTTTGTTTTTCTTTGCTTTTTGCATCCTGACCCATACAAACATTAGATAAATGATGAAAAACAGTACATTCATGATAGTCATAGACATCTTCACACGGAAATAGTCACGTGCCAGGGACACAAGTCCAGACCTGAAATAATAATGATACATCTATACAATCTATTGAGGGGTTTATGAGATATCTTGTACACAAGCTTTTTATTTCAAATTTTGTCATGTGTGACCATTGGACTTTAGCTGTGAATGATAATCATCAAAATCTGATCAGGTGTAGAACATGATGTAATTATAAGGTGTGAATATGAATTAAACTTGAGACATTTATGATTTATCTTGTACATGAGCTCATTATTTCAAAAGTAGTCCAGTGTGACATCTGACCTTCAACCTTGACTGATGAACCTGCATGGACCCACAGAGTGATTTCAATATATGTATATGCTTGAATTACAAATTTAAAAGTTTGGAATATCAAACCATATGTTTAAATACTTACCCAACAAAATCTGGCACATGCTCAACTTTCTTGAAAAACTTCATGCGGACTAGCATCTGTTTTATTTCTGGTGTTGCGTATGTCTGACTAAAACCTGATGAAACACCTTCAAATGAAAGGAAAACAGCTGTACAAAATTGTCCTGAAGTACCTACTTTGCAAATTAAAACAATTAAAAAATACAAGGTTGTTGATATACATGTATAACATTTATATAGGACCTAGTCTTTTATCACGTGAATTAAAGAACTAGTGGGGATATGATCAAGGTTTTTGAGGATATGTTCGAGGTTTTTACGAATGTGAGAGGATTTTATGAAAATCAAGCATCAGCAAATTTGATCATCAGAAATCAAATCAAAAGGCCAAGGGAACACACATACAACTTGGAGAAAGCAAGATCAAGATTGGATGTCAGATAGTTTTCCTTCTCTCAAAGGGTTGTAAACGAATGGAACTCTCTACCAAGGGATATTGTACAGGCACCAACACTCTGCACTTTTGAGAACAGGCTGGATAAAAAATTGAGGGACCCGGTTCAAATATAAACCAATATAAACTAACAATTAAGACGAAGGATTTAGATCTTAATATAGAGGCCTAAAGGCCTGAGTTCAGTAAAGACTAAGTAAGTAAGGAATTCAACCAAAATGATTATGTGTGCATATAACTAAAACTTGATGTTAAAAAAAAAAACATTCTTGTCCCCTTAGCTTGCTGCGGAGAGAAAACTGAGACCATATGAAATCAGATTTCAACCTAAATATAACAATACTATGGCCTGGAAGTGAAAAACTTCAATAAAAATCCAAACAAAAGGCTATTACCCCTTGGTACTTGGTTTTCAAGAAGAAGCCATCTTAAGAAACATTCCATGCACTATCACCCGTCTCAGTATGATTGAAATGTAAGTAATGATGATGATGATGATGAGCAATATGTGTGAATGATAATAATTTTCAAGTGAATATCATAATTGTCTTATTTATGATTTCTATTACACCTACGTGTGAATGTGCGGATAGTTTGTGTATGTATTACATATACTGAAAATAATTGAAAAAAGAAGAAATTATAAAAAAAAAAAAAAAAAGGAAAGTAATAGACAAAGGGGCTATACTGTGGTATTACATATAAGGAAGAAAATTATGTGGCATATTTTGTAATACAAGTCCCAATATCACGATCATTGATGCTGTAACTGAGGTCCTTGAGATTCCAGGTCTTTCAGTGATATGTTTGTCAAAGTAACCTTAAGTCCTATTCCCGAGACCTAACATGGACACCATCTAACAGATGTCATTATTTATTTCAAAGTCACTGCTAGCATCCAAACCATGTATGTCTGGTTTACTAGTCTTATGTTTAACAGATGGTGCTGAAGAGAAGTTCTCTCCAACAGAGTGGTATATTGTGGCTAGCATTTTACCAGGGTCATTCTTCCTTGAAAATAAAATAACATGTAAATTGAAAGCAGTTGAAAGGACTCATGCAATGAAATGTTTCATCTACTTCAGAGTCCCTACCTATATTAAGATTTGGTAAAAGATTGTGACCTCTGAGGTTTAAATCTGTTATATATGACAGAAATCTACATTTATTTGGCTTGATGAAATATACAGTTCTAATACATTTCAATGTATATGGGGCAGATTTATATATGTTAAGACCATCAGGGTTTTTCCCCAACTGGGTAGTTAGTTCCACTTGTAAACTTCCAGTTTTTGAATTCTGAAGGCCATGCCAGTCCGAGATGTAATTCAACCTACTGAATTATGCCATTTGTAGCCCTTGACAAGTATGTTTCTATGAAAGGTGTTACTTTTGTGTTAAACTTCTAAATGCTAAGCTTGAAATTGATTTATTACATGAAACAGCCTTAAATGCTAAGTTTATTACTGACTTAAATATATTTTTCACTAAAATATGTTTAAATTCAAGTATGTGGTTTTATTACTGACTTAAATATACACTAAATTCAAGTATGTGGTTTTACGGACATACCAGATGGAAGAGCGAAATAGTCCGACTACCTCCTAAACAAATTTATGGTCAACATATTTATACCTATATATATTACTATGATAAGCAAGAAGGACCCACATAATTTCCAATGTATTCAATAGTTATGCCATATATATACATATATATAGAAGTACTGCAGTAAGCGGTGTAAATTTTAACATTGTCTTAGCTTAGCTTCAGTCCAATAATGGACGCTTTATGAAAGCTGAATTGAAGCTACCAATTTTCTTTTACTTTATCTTTTCATAATTGAAAAATACTCAACATGCGGTCTCAAGACTAGACAGAAATTTATGTCTCTTAATTGATAATTCAATGTCAATATTCCCTTCTATTAGGCTGTTATCAACATCTACAATTTTAATGAAGACAGAATTTTTCGGCCTCTCTCAAGACCTACTTCCTGTAATATTGAATAATTCAGCTAACCATACCTAGCGTTGGTGTTATGTGAAATTCTCTCGTCACAATGGGCTCAATAAAATGTTTGGAACATCGATGCTGTCGATACAGCATCCTTCTCACCCCAAGAATGGACTGCGTGCGAAGCAGTCTCTGAGCCATGTTTATGTTGCCACTGTACCCGATTTAAAACTACTATAACACTTTTCATTGTACCGGAGAGGAGAAAATCCGGATTCTTCTTCTTTGAAGTAATGAACATCACTCTTGATAGTATACTGTAGCACAGATTGTGCACACAAAGCTAACAACATCTACATACACACAAAGACCAAAGCAGCTTGATTTAACTTCTGATTTAAAACTATTTAATTTCGAAAACTGAAGTGGACAATTTTCTGGACTGGAAACAAGGTCCAGTGGTAGCTCATTTCAATACTCCAGGGGTTGAGGTCATTTTCGCTCCCTCCACCCAGAGACGTATATATCACGTCTCTGCTCCACTCCTGGATCATGTCATGGCAAAATTTGAAGGAACATTTGTTTGATTCCAGGAGGAAATAACTGACCAATCACAGGCTGATACGCTCTTTTTGAAGACTAAGAAAAGGAGCGACACCAAACTTCAAAGCCATTACAATAGATCTTTCTGCGATCTCTAGTTTCGTTTTTATGTACATCAAAAGATCAAACTGTTCCAGGGGTGAAGTGAGCGAAAATGGCCGTAACCTCGGAGTATCGAGGATGGTGGTAGCTAAATACTGTTACCCGTGTTGCGTTTTTGTTCATTGAGCCGTAAAGTCATCGAAACCGCCATTCTAGGCCCCAGGTGAAAATCTTGTGATGGTGTTCTTAATTGTAGAAATTATAAATAAAAATAAAAGGCATTTTTTGTTAGTGAAAACATAAACATCAAATGATGTTTTGTAATTATATTGTATACCACTTTCTGTCCGAAATATGAAACATCGAATTCAATTATCATACACAGTGTACACGCGGAAAAGGTTGTGTCATCATGTCTAAAGAGGATTTTCCTTTATATATATACACACACACACGTTTATTTTGATAAGATGATTCAGGCAAAGTACTGCTATATCTGATGAGCAGTTTTATTTTCCTTCACTTTCCTAGACTAAGATAACTTATTTTCATCATGTAACCGGTAAGTATCGACTAAACTCCACACTTGAAATTCCTCAAATTTTCAAAGTTGGATTCACCAACCGGAACAAAAAAGCAATAAGAGGGAATACGGAAATAAAAGTGCTAAACCAGACCAATTAAAATTTCATATTATACTAACGAGACCATACCATACCAAATCATTCGTATTTTTATTTTCGATACATGTTTTCAAAGACTTCTGCTCATGAAATCTTCGTGGATTTTATTTAAAGTAACATCAAACCGTCAAAGGTGTTTATTAGTTAGCAAGTGTCAGACATTGACAAAAAATCATTGAGAATAAAGTACAACACGTGACTAAACCCAACGACTTTTGAGGTTGCTGACAGCGTTTTATGGAAATCCCAGAAATAATGAGTTGCTATATGTGTAGATTGGAAGGAATTATTCTCTCTGATTTACATTACACCCGGAACATCTATCCGGATTTGGTTTTACATTAGGTTCTTAGTTGGAACGTCAGAGTATTGTTTTGATGGCAGTGGTTGGTGCGTGTCGGCTAATAAGAGATCGTCACTGATTGGTTTATATTTTTATATTGATTACCTAGAATTTTTTGCTTTCACATTAGGCCTATCTCAAAAGATTTAATTCAGTGATGCTATACTGTCTCTGTTTATATGGACCTACACATGCAGTCAAGCTATAACAGCAAAACGCACTGAATCGTGTACCCCAGCTTCAGGTAATTTGTTTTGGTAAGGTAACGTTATAACACGACTACTTTCTGATTCAGCAGCTGGACCCGGAGACCATCTGTTGACATGTTGATTACAATGAAAGATGTTAATTAGATAGGGAATACTTTAACCTCATCCGGTTCTATGTAGATAATTGTAAAATTTTGCATAATAAATAAATGATAATTTTGAAGCTATTTGCGTTGTTTTGTCTTCAATAGAAGTTTTTTTGCATGTAGAAAATCGAAGTTATTAGTAACGTAAGTAGTTAGCACTGAAAAAATCTTTCTTATCTTGAACCGAACTATGGTATATATAACAATTAATTTATTATTTGAACACACATGAAAGAAACTAGGTACTTTTGTGATCAAACAAGAAGATGTTTGTGTGACTCCATTTGGAAAAAGTAAAGGCTCAGTATATAAAAACATAATGGTAATGGTTAAGTACGTGACATTAGCAGAATGAGCATCATTCGTCTGGCAGTAGCCCATAGAAAAAATGTTTTACATGCAAATTCCTAAACAATATAATTGAAAAGAAAAGAACAGCACTGTAAGAATCAAATTGATGACAGTAAGTGGAAGGTTTATATTACAACATGTTGCATGCATGGGAGATTTTACCTCGGTTGAACTGTAATATTTAATCATGAGATGTATTTATATGACATTTAAACCTGTATATTTTATCTATATATATAATGTGATTTTCGTTAACTGCTTTTTACCTTTGTGAATCACTTTAATATATATTTGACTTGTATATTACAGTGATGGCAGAGGGCGGTGGTGAAAAGATGGATTTAGATGACGATGCCCAGTTTACTTGTCTGATCTGTGGTCAGGCAGGTATGACTGAAGTAGACATGCGGTCACACATCATGATGGACCATGTTGATCAGGATGTGTGCTGCCCATTCTGTGATCTCAGCGGCATCACCCCAAATGAGATGAATCTACATGTCAATAAGGTCCACTTAGAGGAGTACAAAAGTCCCAGTAAGGAATATAGACCCATGGATACTTCCCCTAGTACATCTGGAGATGAAAAAGCTGAGACAGAGTCGCCAGAGAAGGAAATTCCCATACCCAGATCACCCAAGTCTAAAGATTCTGGCAGCTTATTGATGGCTAGTCCAATAAAGAAGAATGGGGCTATCACTAACCGTAGCAATAGATCTAATTCTTTGGAAGATTCAGGAAAACGAGCCAAATTAAATCTGGACATATCGTCACCAGTCCAGATAATGTTGCCAAGACAGAGCTCAGGAGAAGGGTCCTTAGACACTGGGGTGACAGCATCCTGTATACCACCTTTAGCCAGACCTGACCCGCAGGGAATCCGCGCCTCTCTACAACCCAGACGAGCTGAAATGCTCCTGGTTCCTGACATCAACTACAATGTAGAACCGGATATTAACTCCAATGTCCCTATGGAGTTCTCTTGTCCACTTTGTCAGTTCAGCACGCCATCTGAAGGTGACATTCAAACGCATGTCAATAGGGAACACATTGATATACTTAGTCCATGTAGACCTAGAGACACACAAGATGACAGTAAAAACCAAAATGGTGGCTCCAGATACATTATGGACTCAGCTAAAATGCTGGAATATGCATGTCCATTTTGTGATTTGACTTTGAGTTCACCTGATGATCTACAAATTCATGTTAATTCCAAGCATTTAGATATACTTAGCCCTGATAGAGTGAACTCTGAAAATGGCGGGCGTGGTAGTATGTCTAGTTCAGCTGACATGTCAGATTGTGTTACATGCCCTGTCTGCGATCAGGAATTCAACGACCTGGTAGTACTGGAAATGCATGTCAACGGTCACTTCTCAGCAGAACAGACACCAGGTATCCATTATTGGTCTACTGTTTTGTCTAATGTAGTCATAGATTGCCTAGGACTGCTGTAGTATGTTGGAGGATATATTCCAGAATTAGAACTAGACTTCAAAATGAGAAAGATGAAAAGGCTAGCCTTTATTACCTGATCACTTTGAAAACTAAAACAGATGTTTTGAGTTATAGGGGCAGAGTGATTGAATTTAAAAGCTGATTGTCTTTTCTGTGTTCAAATAACATGTATTTTATATATTTTTACATTTAAAAACTATATGTACGTCTTATTAATAGCTCAAGAAGTGAATGACCAAGCCCTTGCAGCAGAACTAGGCAAGTCAGAGCAGGAGGAGAAGAAGAGGGAGATGCGAGAGTTCCAAGCATTGCAGGTACAATAGCCAGCTATGGTTACATTAGGTGATGTGAGATAAAGTCTTTCAGGTAAAGTTATTTCTGATATCAGTTACAACAGATGATGTCATGTACAGTCTTCTGTAATGTGGTAGCAGTAGGTGATAACAGATACAGCTATCTGATAACAATAGGTGATAACAGGTACAGCTATCTGATAACAATAGGTGATAGTAAGAACAGTTTTCTGTTATGTTGATAACAATAGGTGATATATGGAACAGTTCTCTGTTATGTTGATAACAATAGGTGATATATGGAACAGTTCTCTGTTATGTTGATAACAATAGGTGATATATGGAACAGATTTCTGTTATGATGATAACAATAGGTGATATATTGAACAGTTCTCTGTTATGATAACAATAGGTGATATATGGAACAGTTCTCTGTCAGGATAACAATAGGTGATATATGGAACAGTTCTCTGTTATGATAACAATAGGTGATATATGGAACAGTTCTCTGTTATGATAACAATAGGTGATATATGGAACAGTTCTCTGTTATGATGATAACAATAGGTGATATATAGAACAGTTCTCTGTTATGATAACAATAGGTGATATATGGAACAGTTCACTGTTATGTTGATAACAATAGGTGATATATGGAACAGTTCTCTGTTATGATAACAATAGGTGATATATGGAACAGTTCTCTGTTATGTTGATAACAATAGGTGATATATGGAACAGTTCTCTGTTATGATGATAACAATAGGTGATATATAGAACAGTTCTTTGTTATGATGATAACATTAGGTGATATATAGAACAGTTCTCTGTTATGATGATAACAATAGGTGATATATAGAACAGTTCTCTGTTATGATGATAACAATAGGTGATATATGGAACAGTTCTCTGTCAGGATAACAATAGGTGATATATGGAACAGTTCTCTGTTATGATAACAATAGGTGATATATGGAACAGTTCTCTGTCAGGATAACAATAGGTGATATATGGAACAGTTCTCTGTTATGATAACAATAGGTGATATATGGAACAGTTCTCTGTCAGGATAACAATAGGTGATATATGGAACAGTTCTCTGTTATGATAACAATAGGTGATATATGGAACAGTTCTCTGTCATGATAACAATAGGTGATATATGGAACAGTTCTCTGTTATGATAACAATAGGTGATATATGGAACAGTTCTCTGTCATGATAACAATAGGTGATATATGGAACAGTTCTCTGTCATGGTAATAACAATAGGTGATATATGGAACAGTTCTCTGTTATGTTGATAACAATAGGTGATATATAGAACAGTTCTCTGATAACAATAGGTGATATATATGATAACAATAGGTGATATATGGAACAGTTCTCTGTTATGATAACAATAGGTGATATAGTTCTCTGTTATGATAACAATAGGTGATATATGGAACAGTTCTCTGTTATGATAACAATAGGTGATATATGGAACAGTTCTCTGTTATGATAACAATAGGTGATATATGGAACAGTTCTCTGTTATGATAACAATAGGTGATATATGGAACAGTTCTCTGTTATGATAACAATAGGTGATATATGGAACAGTTCTCTGTTATGATAACAATAGGTGATATATATGTTATGATAACAATAGGTGATATATGGAACAGTTCTCTGTTATGATAACAATAGGTGATATATGGAACAGTTCTCTGTTATGATAACAATAGGTGATATATGGAACAGTTCTCTGTTATGATAACAATAGGTGATATATGGAACAGTTCTCTGTTATGATAACATATAGGTGATATATATGGAACAGTTTCTGTTATGATAACAATAGGTGATATATGGATAACAATAGGTGATATATGGAACAGTTCTCTGTTATGATAAACAATAGGTGATATATGGAACAGTTCTCTGTTATGATAACAATAGGTGATATATGGAACAGTTCTCTGTCAGGATAACAATAGGTGATATATGGAACAGTTCTCTGTCATGATACACTATAAAGTTTAGTTGGTACTGAAAGAATTCTAAACTATTTCACTGAAATTTGAAATGAAATTTGTTTTTCCTTGATGATGAAGCACCTTTGTTAAGTTGTACCAGGCAGCCATCTTGGATGTTTTAAATGAAATGTGTTATTACTACTTCTTAAAAAGGTGGTGTGGGTTTGATTTTAGGTCTTATCAGAAAAAATGGTCAACACGCAGCCATATTGGATTTTGACTTTGCAAAATTGTTATTGCTATTTCTTGAGAAGTACCAGATGCGTCTTTCTCAAATTTCATGCATAGGTTCCTGATCCCTGGTTGTTTCTATTCTAAGAGCAAATAAAAATCAAACAATGGTAGGTGCCAAGACCTCTCTGTTATTGATACCCTTTGTATCTTTAAATTCTAGGCAATGTATGGAATGGCCAGTGGTACAAATTACAAGAAACAGTATGAAAAGAACTTAGAGAAAGCTGTTGCCAAGGGAGACCTGTCTGTCACGGAATTCCATTTGAGGAAAGCAAACCTCAGAGGTCGTGACCTCAATGGTGTTGATGATGGCCATTCTTGTACTAAAGGTAAGATCAGATATCTAGAATAGTAAAACACCTTCAGGAGATTTCATGGGACATGATGACATAATACACCTTCAGGAGAATTCATGGGACATGATGACATAATACACCTTCAGGAGAATTCATGAGACATGATGACATAATACACCTTCAGGAGAATTCATGAGACATGATGACATAATACACCTTTAGAAGATTTCATGAGACATGATGACATAATACACCTTCAGGAGATTTCATGGGACATGATGACATAATACACCTTCAGGAGATTTCATGAGACATGACGTAATACACCTTCAGGAGATTTCATGTGACATGATGACATAATACACCTTCAGGAGATTTCATGAGACATGATGACATATAATACACCTTCAGGAGATTTCATGAGACACACTGACATATAAAACACCTTCAGGAGATTTCATGAGACACACTGACATATAAAACACCTTCAGGAGATTTCATGTGACATGATGACATAATACACCTTCAGGAGATTTCATGGGACATGATGACATAATACACCTTCAGGAGATTTCATGAGACATGATGACATAATACACCTTTAGGAGATTTCATGGGACATGATGACATAATACACCTTTAGGAGATTTCATGGGACATGATGACATAATACACCTTCAGGAGATTTCATGGGACATGATGACATAATACACCTTCAGGAGATTTCATTGGACATGATGACGTAATACACCCTTAGGAGATTTCATGAGACATGATGACGTAATACACTTTCAGGAGATTTCATGAGACATGACGTAATACACCTTTAGGGGATTTCATGGGACATGATGTTATATAATACACCATCAGAAGATTTCATGAGACACATTGAGATATAATACACCTTCAGGAGATTTCATGAGACACATGGAGATATAATACACCTTCAGGAGATTTCAGGAGACACACTGACATATAATACACCTTCAGGAGATTTCAGGAGACACACTGACATATAATACACCTTCAGGAGATTTCAGGAGACACACTGACATATAATACACCTGCAGGAGAGATTGGAAAATGAACATAACATTTGTTTTTTTTTTATGTAAAAAGAAACAATTAGACAATGAAAGCCTCCTTTGTGAGGAAACTAGATGGTTAAGAGGTGGGAGGGAAAGTCTGAAATCATGGCTTCTAACCCTTGTAATTCTTAATAAAATCACTATTGTAAAAATGGGACTCTTAATGGAGTCTGAGAGAACCAACATCTTAGTTGTCTCCAGTCAGTAAATAGTTTCTTAAAGGGAACACAGCAATACAAATAATATGAAGGTTTTATAAACAGATGATTACAGAATCCAGATGTTGCTGCTCCATATATTATATTGTTTGTATAACATGGTTATGAATTTGCCTTTTTGTACAAAGCAAATATTCAGAAGGGTTGATATTAGTGCTCTTTCTTAGGTATAATACGCCATCTAGAGGAGTACTACAAGACCTCCACCACCAGTGTTGTGAACTTCCATCTGTGTAACTCTGTCGAGCATTTCTGTGCTTCCTATGGTGACAAGGGCTGGGGATGTGGCTACAGAAACTTCCAGATGCTCCTCTCAGCCATGGCAGCTAATCCCACTTACTGCAAATTACTGTTCAACTGTAAGTATTCCACTGTAAATACATTGATTCTTGGGAAATTAAAAAGGAATACATTGTAGTATGTCAAACGCACCTGTATTCTTTGCAATGTGAGTAAGTGAAGGCAAGAATCTAATACAGTACATGTTAGCATCATAAATGTGTTATGTTTTTCTATGTTTGTCCTTTTGTACAAAATCTTAAATTTACATAATCTGTTGTATTATAATTGTAATTGTGTTGACCAAATCAGCTCTCAGTATTACTGTAATGGTGTTTACAAACTCAGCTCTCAGGAATTTCTTTTCTGCTGACAGCAAATAAAGCCCAGATCCCTTCACTGCCCAAGATACAGAGGCTGATAGAGGCAGCTTGGGAGAAGGGGTTTGACAAGCAGGGTTGTGAACAGTTAGGGGGACATGTTGTGGATACCACTAAATGGATAGGGGCAACAGAAATTGCTGCTACTCTCCTTTCCCTGAAAGTCAGGTCAGTATCAGAAAGAGGTGCCTGCAACAAACATCATAGAAAAAACAGGCAAAACATTGTGGAGCTTAAATTTCATAATTGTACATATCCTTACTTATATACACAGTTGTACATATATATATGTATATATATATATATATATCTATATATATATATATACATATGTTCATTGATTTTGTGGATGAATCTTGTTCACAAAATCCACTATTACAGTTATCCGTTTCAATTTTCATCTGTTTAATATTTTTGAAGTTATGTAAATACATGGATTAAAAGTACGTACAATTTCATTAAAATAAATCTGTCACAAAAATTGATATTTTTACAGTATCTAATAATAGTTCTGGCTTTGTCATTATTTCTCTTGGTGACAAAATGTTTTACTTTTGACATTGTTGTCTGTTTGCACTACAGATGTCAGCTGTTGGATTTCCACAATCCCTCTGGTCCTCAGGGGACACACCCTAAACTGTTTCAATGGGTGAAAGACTACTTCTGTCAGCCATCTCCGGTCAAACTTCCTCTATACCTACAACATCAAGGTAAGGTTACAGACTTTTGTCCATGACTGTCAGCCATCTTGTGTCATGCTTCCTCTATACCTACAACACCAAAAACTTTCCTCCATCACTGTCAGACATCTCTTGTCAAGCTTCCTCTATACCTACAACACCATGATAAGGTTACAGACTCTCTTCCATCACTGTCAGCCATCTCTTTTCCAATTTCCTCTCTACCTACAACACCAAGGTAAGGTTACAGACGTCCCTTCATCACTGTCAGACATCTCCTGTTAAACTTCCTCTATACCCACAACACCAAGGTAAGGTTACAGACTTTCTTCCATCACTGTCAGCCATCTCCTGTTAAACTTCCTCTATACCCACTACACCAAGGTAAGGTTACAGACTTTCTTCCATCACTGTCAGCCATCTCCTGTCCAATTTCCTCTATACCTACAACACCAAGGTAAGGTTACAGGCTTTCTTCCATCACTGTTGGCCATCTTGTGTCAAGCTTCCTCTATACCTATAACACCAAGGTAAGGCTACAGACGTCCCTTCATCACTGTCAGCCATCTCCTGTCCAATTTCCTCTATACCTACAACACCAAGGTAAGGTTACAGGCTTTCTTCCATCACTGTTGGCCATCTTGTGTCAAGCTTCCTCTATACCTACAACACCAAGGTAAGGTTACAGGCTTTCTTCCATCACTGTTGGCCATCTTGTGTCAAGCTTCCTCTATACCTATAACACCAAGGTAAGGCTACAGACGTCCCTTCATCACTGTCAGCCATCTCCTGTCCAATTTCCTCTATACCTACAACACCAAGGTAAGGTTACAGGCTTTCTTCCATCACTGTCGGCCATCTTGTGTCAAGCTTCCTCTATACCTATAACACCAAGGTAAGGCTACAGACGTCCCTTCATCACTGTCGGACATCTCCTGTTAAACTTCCTCTATACCCACAACACCAAGGTAAGGTTACAGACAGTATGACATCAGTACATTATTGACAGAAACAAAATTTGTGGTCGTCAGTATTTTAAATAACATTTCAGGTGTTAATCATGGCATACCTGCACAAATTGATCCAGGTCTCGGAAGACTTTGTAAAGGCTAGTCAGAAAACAAAATACGATCATTAGGTTCTCCGTATCTCAAAAATGATCCAATCAAACCTCTTGTATCACTATTCACATGTTGTGGTAAGTATAGCAGAAACATACATGTTGTATTTGTTACAAGAGAACATGAAAGCTGATTACAGATTTTTTATAAAAATCTTAGCAGTTAACCGACAATGTAGTTTTTCTTTAATGTTTCACTTGAATTATTTTGTTTTCGATTTTAACACAATATTCTGATCTAATGAAATAGAATGTAATGACATTCAATAAATTTTGTATGTTTAGGTCACAGTCGGACCATCATAGGTGTTGAAGAATTAAAGGACGGTGTTATACGACTGCTGATCTTTGATCCCAGCACCTCAAAGAAACAAATGCAGCTGTTCAATGGCTTTATAAACTCCAACATCATGAGAATAGTGAGAAGAAGTATCCATGGACTGAAGGCAAAACAGTACCAAATAGTGGCCGTCACAGGGATACTAGAGGACAAAGCATACGAGGTGAGAAACTCAAGGTCATGGTCAGTACACATCATTGGTCATTTACTCAGAACAGCATATTTGTAATTTACAAGACACATATAGTATTTGAGAATATTGTCATACACCTTTTTTTATTTGTTGCAGAATTTTTACTAGGGGCATGACCCCCACTAGCAGTTTCATAGATTGGCAACTAGAGTTATTCCCCCTGTTTAGAGTTTTTATTGTCAGCACATTTATGATAATTGGGTTAGATTAGTTACCTTAGCAAGTTGCACACTTTTCTTTCAGTTATGTATTTTGATGATTGTGTTGGGTGTTGTGTCGTTTTATGATAATTGTGATGTTACAAAATGAGAATATTTCAATCCATATTCTACTTCTAATTCAATATTTCAATTTATAAAATATAATAGATATCTTAGACAATTCTGTTTTTTATATATACTTTTGTTAAGATTTTGACAGTTTTGATAGGAGTTGAATTATGGTTCACAGCTTTTGAACAGCATATATATTTATTTTACATATATAACTGAAAGAAAGACCCTTTCACCAGTTCTATCAGTAGACAAAGTACTGTGATTTGATCGAAATACTTGTGTTTGATGCTTGCAGGAACACAAGGTCTTGAAATCAGAAAGGATAAGTTGACCATGAGATGATAGCTAATGTGATACCAATCATCAGGCTGTGATGCATGCTGGGAAGGGCTTGCCTTGTTACCCCATCTGCAACCTCATTGTTATATCCTTGCCATGGAATGGTAGGAAAGGGCTGTTTTTTGTATGATTTACCAATGTGTTTAAAGCAATGTTTAAATCATGAATATTTCATTATAAACACTGAAAAATTCTTACACGTGTTGTCAGATTTTCTCCTACATATATATATATCAAACTAATGTTATGAAAACAGTTGTTTAGCCTATTTGCTTGAAAGAGGGATAGAGTGGGTTTAGGTATTTTTGAATCAGTTATTGAGCTATAAATTCTATAGTGGAAGGGTATCAGTGCTGAAACTGGTGTCTACTTGTACTGTAACTCAAGATAAAAACAAAATTTCTAAAGTTGTTTCTGTGTATCTACTTTACGAGAATTCCCAGACTAAGTTATTGTTATACATAGAGGATATGAAGTCTCTCCCTAAAGTGTTGTCCTGTCATCTTTGAGTGTAATTGTCATACCTGTAGCATTAACAGCTAACTGTTAAAGTATGTTATAATGCAAGTCTGTTAGGGATTATAATCTTATTCCTGTTGTGAATCAAAATTATATTTATGTGTGGAGTTATATCCAAACCCACTCTATATCTACCCCAGAAATATGTATACATCAGTGTCAGAGCCCTTTAATACAAATGTTTTCCTTATTCTCACCAGCCATTCTTTATCACTGCTTAACTATTCATATTTGAATAGTCACAGATGTGGAAATTTGGGTGTGATATGAAGAGAAATCTGCTAGACTGAAAGCACAAATAAATGCCAAGTTTTTTGCTAAAAGCAAGTTATTTCAGCTTGTAATCCATTGAAGCTGTATATTTGCTGCACAGTTTCCATGTAAGTACTTTCTGGTCAATAAAATGTCAGTTGATGTCCTACGGTTGACCATAAACTTGTTGCATTGACCCAGTTTCCTGAGTTGAATACCGTCATAAGCTTCTTATTTTCAAAAGGAAACACAATTTTTTACACTACCCAAAAATGGTAAACTCTTCAAACTTATCTGTAGATTGTACATACTTCTAAAGATTGACCTTAATCAAGGGATTCATAATAGATTATAAACAATCATGTATTCCCAAAAGTAATTACTTTTTGTGGGTCAGACAGTGCATCTTTTATTGAAAAGATTTGTTTGCTAGACATTTACGTATAGTCCACACTTTGATATTAACATGCAATACTGGAGGGAGAAAGTGTGTTTTATTCTAAAAAATTTTGATATGTCTTTGCTGGTGTTTTTGTTGATCAAGTAAAGGTGTCAGAGAAAAAATTTCATGAAAACTGAACTGTAGCATTAGGTTGTACAGCACTTTTAATACATAATTGTGACTTGGGACGGTAAAAGAAATATAACCTCACATATAGCACTTTATTAATTTATATTGATAATAATGACAATGAAACGGTTGTGTTCTGAATTTTTTATATGTTATACAAAAATGAAAGGCAGCCTCTGTAAAATTAAGATCTCAGAGTTGATTGTTGTGGGAGATGAAAAATAAACCTAAAAACAGCAGTTTTATGAAGTCACACCTGTGCAGTATAGAACAGAAGTATCAATATCTATCCTATAAACATCAATGGCTGAAGTGGTTCCAAGTGTCTGCATTTATTCTCTCCTAAAACGCCTAGTTAAGAAATCAACATCAGTCGTGATAGTGATCCCTTTGTAAAGTAGGTTAAACGAATTGTACGAAAGGGTTTTGTATTTCATTTAGTTGCTTTTATTTTGGGAGTTTTAAGAATATTGTTGAAACCAAAGCATTAGTCAGTGGTATATATGATATGGTAGGTTCTTCATCATACATTGCACACCAAAACAGTGAAAAGAAATGAGGTTTGACATTTTAGTCATAAGTGTTCAAGTGACAATTTTTTTCTCTCAAGAATAAAGGCTTTCAGGAAATAGAATGAAAAATCCTTATAATATTGTTGAATGTTACTACTATTGAAGTTTGGTTTGCTCAATGATATCTCCCTGTGATAGAGTCTTAACCAGAAAAAAAGACAGCATTTTACCGTGTATTGTATATCTATATTGTGTATATGGGATAATACAGAGTATTATGTACATCATATTACTGTAACAATGATTAAATTACAGATTACATTATATTTAATATAAAAATACACTACAGGGTACCCAATAAAAGTTTGTATATCAATTTGTACCAGGTACGTTACATTGTACCCATATATTATAGAAATTAATGACATTTATTGAGGGAATGTAGTGTTTCACTGATACACTAGACAGATATTGCTTGTTACACCCTACCCCGTAATATATGCTTCAGATCACAGCTATTATGTAGGTTTGCTTTATTATTTTCATGGTGTGAAAAAACTAGAATAATGAAGTTTTACTATCATAAAAAAAGCAATTGGAAATTGCACAGCGTAGTTTCCTCATCCAACGATCTAGATTACAACTGTACCAATAATGTAGTACTTCTTTTTAAGCATGACATCAAGTAGCTAACCTAGGTTCCAAAAAACCTAATGCTTCTGATGTGTTTCAACAGTTGATTTTTTGTGTTTTGAATCTTCTTTACTGGAGAAATCAGTGTTCAGCAGACACGAAAGAGATGACTTGAATCCCTGCCTCTGTGAAGCTTAAGCCATGTCCATTCAGTACATTGTCAGAGGCGGGCCGGGTCTTTGGATAATTCACAGGTTCCCTCGGGGTCAATCATGTTGTTGTGATCGGTCTGATGCATTATTCCAGTATATGATCAACACTACTTATTTAAATCTTATGTACAAAACATTCTAGTCAGTAGATGACCCCAGTTACGAGTTTATTGATGCATGACAAACATAGGTTGTCTGAGAATAGCACACAACAAATCAGATTAAATCTTAACAAATTGAACAGTTAAACACTTTGTGCAGATAATAATGACATGTCATAGTTAAAGAAAATTAATTAGATAGGTAACATTAGGTTAATGTCATTCTTTTTAATTTGTCTTAAAACAAAATGTGTATGCAGTCAACAGCTGCATAAGCGTTGATTCATAGTAGTGGCGTCATTATATAAAGCTCATCACAGCACTGTTTGTTGCTGACAACATCAGCTTAAATAAAGGATATTGTTAGGTTAACAATGGGGCCACACAGTTCCTCAGGACCACAACTGTCAGGAGGTAGTGTTTGCTAGGTATGAAGGAGGAATCAAAGTTTCCTTTAAGTGCAATTCTCATACCCATGTAATAAATAAATTTAGCGGTAGAGTGATTTTCACCGAGGGACAAGAATGTTGCTCATCCATGTGAAAATTTTGATCAATAAGCATCTATTTAACAGTTCCATAAGGGTATGGAATCTTTTCAAAATAAAAAATAAAAACGTCCTTAGAGTTTGGCATGGGTACATTGTTAACAGCAAACTGGAGGTAGTATAGTGCCATACAAGTCACAGTACATACATGCTACCTCAAAACCTCGCTGCTCAACTGAAATTGTCCATCCAGCAAAAACTCCAATTACCTCCACTAATTATATTAATATATTGCTACATCAGCATCCAACAAATCCATCAGGATGTTAGTGTTGTTGGTAATGTTACATCACATTTGATTAGAAGTCAAAGGATTGTAGAATGTTAAAATGTTCCAACAGTGTTTTCTGTAATAAGATTGGGGTTATTTATGGAAATACTGCAGTTCTAATAGTTAAATAAAACTGCCCATTGTTTCCCTTTCTAAAGAACTAGGGAAAATTGCTTGTTATATCCCCTCCTCAATGACCAGGCCCTATAAGGTTATAAAGTGCTTGCTTATTACTCCCTGCTCCATGTCTAAGACTCCTTAGGTGATTGAAGGCTTTTTGCTTTCCATGCCTTCATGACTAAGCCACAAAAGGCTGTAAAGTGCTTGACATTTACTGTTTCTCCATGGCTGTGGCCCATAAGGTGCTTGAAGGCTTGTTGCTTTCCCCTCCTTCCTTCATGACTAAACCACATAAGGCTGTGAAGTGCTTGACATTTACCGTTTCTCCATGGCTGTGGCCCATAAAGTGCTTGAAGGCTTGTTGCTTTCCCCTCCTTCCTTCATGACTAAGCCACATATGGTTGTAAAGTGCTTGCCATTTACCGTTTCTCCATGGCTGTGGCCCATAAGGTGATTGAAGGCTTGTTGCTTTCCCTTTCTTATTGAAAAAGCCCTACAGGTTTGTAAAGTGCTTTTTGATTCCTTCTAAAATGACTTGGGCCAGTAAGGTTTCCCCTCCTCCCTAAAGATCTTTAAGATAGTTAAAATGCTTGCTGCTTCGACTGTGTTAATAACTGTGTCCCAGAAGGTAGTAAAAACAGTTGGTTTACCTCCTGGCTGCCTTCGCTTTAAGTATTATCTTATATGCTATGTTTTATTATCTGTTTTGCAATTTTTTTTCTTGTTTTCAGTTTAATATATTTACTAAGGTAATATGATCTTTGAATTGTGTTCATGATTGTTATTTATATATATATATATACACATTGTTATTTTTAATGTTATGTTGATTGTTATTAATTAGTCTTGTCTTTTTTTAAGTATTTTGTGTGTTAACATCGAAATGATGAGTTTACAGAAGAAAGTCTTTGAACTGAAGCGTGCTGTAAAGGATGTGATGCGTATGTTATGTGAAGGATGAACCTGGGTGTATTGAGGTTGTATTATATTGGTTGGATAATTAACTTTCTTGTTGAATACATTCTTTACATGTTATAGTGGGGTTTTTATCAATTAATGATTGTATTTTTGCCTTTCACTTTGTCAAATTTTGCAGTCTTGTTTTGGTAATTAATGAGTAAAGGATTAAAATTTCACATTTTGTTTACTGTTTACCATGTTTATGTTTTGAGAGTACTTTTTACTTAAGTGCTATTTAATGTTTAATTCCTAAATCATTAAGATTAAGACAAAGAAATGTAAAGGGACCATTGTAATGTAGTGAAGGTTTATATGTTAAACAATATTTATGACAAAATTCTTTGTGAAATTTGAGATGTAATCTGCACACAAACTGTTTACACGGCAATATGAACAAAGCCAATGGTTTCTTGACATTTAAATAGGGTAACTAAGGGAATACTGAATTCACTGGCAGAGTTTAAAACAGTAGCTGTTAACTACTGAAGCTGAAGGAAAACTGTTGCATTGTAGGATCAGTCCAAATAATATCTTTAAGATTGACTCAAATAAATGAATCATTTGATGTTTAAAGATATTCATAAAGTGATTTGTTCAGTCTGAGTAGGTATTCAAATTAACACTGTTGTCATGGTTTTGGTTTCTTTGACTACAGTAGACGTATCAGCTACAGGTTACTTGTTAACAACAATGTAAGTGTTTATCAGGGGTGGCAAATCTTTGTAACTTGGCCAATTTAGAATTATTGATGAACTAATTTGTCCTATTAAGGTGAATTTAATGTTTAAAGCCAACAGAACATGTAGAAGTACTGAGCAAAGATCAAAATGTTCTTTAATATGAAATTATTGATTAACAGGAAAGAATCCTAATCAAATATACTGGAGTGAAAACAACCCTTTAACGTAAACAGGAAAGATTTATTGTAGTTTGGTACCCTCAACACCAACAGGAGATTCCCATTACTGTACCAGGGTGAAAATACTCCATTATACAATGTAGTATAAAGTCTTGCCAAAATATTTTGGGGGAAAATATCAAAATAATTTTAAAATATTTCCAAAAATTGGATTTCTAGGTTGAAACAATTTGATTTTATTTATCATTTAGATTTTTGACTCCAACATACACAGTGTATTTGATGAACACTTGGTGCCATAGCTAAAGCTGTAGGCAGCAGTAACGAAGCTTGAAGTCTTGACATATGTTACACCGCAGTTTATTGCTTATTGCTTCAGTTATAGCTTGCTGGGGAATCACTTATATATATATTACACATTAGAATGTTTGCATTACTTTAACTTAAAAATCATGACTTTAAATTAAAGTGCTATAATCTCATGGCTTCTTGTTGTTGTCCTTTCACAACACGATGTGTATCCATTACAGATAAGGTTCAGTAAATGCCCTGTCTGCAGCATGTGTCTTTAAGGGACACAGTGAAGTTGGTGCATGAACAACCTTAACTGTCCAAGTTTGAAATGAGGGAGAAAGTATGAGTCAAAAAATTCAATGTAAATATTGTCATCAAAATCTTTGTGATTCCATATGACAAAATTGTGGTGTATTGAGATGTAACAATTTGGATTGCAAATCAGGGATATCCAAAAAAGGGAGAGTGTTGATAAAGACCAGCAATCATGGCCATTTTGAAGCAGTCTCCTGGTAGTAGTTGGTGATAACCTAACTGAACAACATATGGGAGACTCATTGCATATCATCTAAAGTAGACACAATCACTACTGCACAGAGCAGTCAGCTTCCAGACAAATCTAAACCACTCCTGAGTAGGGGTCATTAAATCACACGCATTCCATCTTTACCACAAAGTGCAAAGTTCAACCACCACTAATGACGGAGCTATCCCTGCCCACATAATGTTGCATGTTGGTAATCATTTCTTTACAAGCAGTAAGAGAGTGAGGACAAAATAAATTGAACTGAAATACTTCCTGTAATATATATTTGATACTTGGTACTTTTGCTAAATCCCACAACATTGTGTGGTGGATGTGTTAGATATGACACCTCTTGTTTCATCAACATAGATTATATAGACATTAAATTGTTTCACATTGTTTCACTTACTTCATATGGACCAAGTAGTTGTGCTCCATGATATTACAGACAAGTAAAACATATGATATTGGTGCCAGTTCTGTTAGACAGGATCCTAAGGACATGACGGAGGATGCAACGATGCAAAACAACCTGACCAGGAAATTGCAAACACCTTAAAACCATTCTCCGAGACATATATAGAAATACTTTCACTTAATAAAGAACAAAATGTAAATATATCACAATACTTTTTTAGTAGTTGTTTATTGCAGAATGTACATAAGCACAAATACCTAAGAAGCGATACTCTGTATAAGCCTTTAAGGTTAACAATTCTCTACTGAATCATTATTCAAATGTTGCTCATTTGCTGCTAGATCAGGATAATCTTTTTTCTCCATTTAGCTGAATAATGTATATAAAAATTAAAACAACAATACGTCATAAAACAAAAACAATGACAATACTTGTAATAAGTGTCGTCTAATATCCACAACTGATCGCATTGGAAGCTTCCAATCTTGTACAGATGACAACGACAATGAATGAAACAGACAACAATGATATCAGATAATTACATTGAAGAAGTGTTAATATATCCTGACTTTGAGTCTTAACAAATACAGTCCTATAAGGAGGTTAGTTTAGTTATTCTGTTAAAGTAAACTAAGAATACTACGGGAAAATGTAGGGTTGGGGCACTAACTAAACAGAATGAGAAAATAAATATGGGTGACCATACTTACTAAAATGATACTGTACTACATGTTTTGTACAGGTGAGGGCTCTAATTACTGAAACTACAGGCTTTGTACAGGTGAGTATACTAACTAAAATGAAACTGTGTTCGTAATGAGTGAGGGCACTATGTACCGAGTGCCCTCACTCACAAATGTACAGGTGAGCATACTGTGCTACAAGTGTGGAACAGGTGTGGGCGCTAGCTAAGATAATGTACATACATATACAATAGATTAGTAGATTTTACTTCTGCTATGATATGTATATTCAATTCCTAACAAATGTAAAGAGAAAAACAGGAAACATTTAAATAAAAAAATATTTTACTGTGCATGTGTACTTACACAAAAACAAAGTTCCTCTGAAAGAATGTATGAACTGATCCAAGAGATCTTTTTAAATGTTCTTACACAAATATATCATGAGGGATGAGCAGGTAAACAATAAAAAAGTCTAATTGAAAATGAGCATGAATTGTAATCAATAAGAAACTTTCAGGGGGTACATATACATGTAAATTTTAAACTCTGAACACTGCATTGTATTGAATGAAAATACAAAGTAACACATCTGGTGTTTAATTCAAAATACATCCATGATGAAAGAAATTTTTCAACGCAATCCTTGATTTGTTGAATAAAAGAAAAATAATTGCAAATGATCTAAATTTGATAAAATTGGAAACAATAATCATGTTTGAAATATTGATAGCATCAAGATCAGCTGTATCCTTAGTTAGGTATGCAAAATGTAAACAAAATTTTCAATCTATTTGAATCAAAGTGGTCATGCAAATCATTTACAGTAAACAAAACAGCTGTAGTCACATAATTAAAAGCAGTTCACAAATTCTGAAGCTGTTTGTCCTCCAAGCAATACCCAAATTACTGACTATATTTGTTTTTGACTTGAAGTTCTAAAAGACCTCTATAGATAAGCAGGTCCTTTATAACAGATGAAGACCAACTGTAATGCAGCTTCCTGAATTTCCCTGACCATGCATATATACAGGTCTTGTGTAACACATCAGTCAGAATTTCCCTGATCATACATAATATCACACAAATAATGTGCTTAAAATGAAAGTCCCTGATTAATCATGTACAGTAAAACATTACATATACATAGGTTGTGTGTGTAGCATGGCTTCCTGAATCTCTCGTACCAATCGTGCACGATTTAACATTTTATTCATGGCCTCACTGGACAGGTTCTGGGTTGAATACCACACTGGGCTGTCTGGTACACAGGATCTCTCTGGGGTTAGGTAGAATGCATCATTGCGGTTCTTAATACTTTCAGGGCTGTAAAAGGAACATTTTATATAAAGGGACACTGTAAAATGGGACAATCTACATTAAAGAACATCGTAACATAAAGAGACATTTCAGAAATACAAGATCTTAGGAGTTTTCATTTCAATGAAATTTTATGAAACAAAAACTTGGAAGTATTTTTGCAAGTCCTTTTTTGAAATTCAAAATGCGGAGAAAAAATTAAATGGAGGTAGCCATTTTGCTGCACTATGTTGACTTCATGACAGAATATCATTGTCCATATTGACATCACAACGGATTTCTGACCAGCACAGCTTATTGGTACTGTAGTGTATTATAATCCCTAATCCTTAAAGTTGAACACACTATTACCGATATATCGAATCAAATCATGTAGCTAACAAGTCTTTTAATTGATTGTGGTTGTATTTACTTAAAGACCGAGTCATTACAATTGTTTTCTAGAAACTAACTTTCTTTTATTGCTACGATGTTTGACTTGTCTTTGTCTTAATTTAAAGGGATTCACTTTTGCAAAAGTAATCACACAGGAATGAAAACTGGCTTACACTGTAACACAAATTAAATGATTTTTCATAACATATCATACCTAAGCTTGAGCAATATATTACAGGGCAGTAAATTACCTCCACACTGTAGAGATGTTTTACTTTTTTACTGACTATTAACTCTCCTGGTTTGATGTGAATAACTTACAGTCACATGTTTGAATGGTAGCAGAGTGATCAGAATATTAGACTTAATGTTGTGTATATTCCCCTAAAAATAATCAAGACTCAGGTCTTTGGTCTCTCTGGAATGACTGTCACATATCATCCAGAATGGCTGATTACGGTAGGCAGAGTATAAATTTATCATGAAAATTACCATTTTGAGAGGTAGAACTCGTACAACTTGACAGGACATCTGAGTGGATTGTCTAGATTTTCAGCTTGTTCATACACCGGCACCTCATCTTTTTGTTTCTTCTTCTGGTTCACATCATCTAGAAAACAGAATAAGCACCAGTGAATGACAAAGCATTTAACAGTTTTGTCCATCATGTACTTTCTAGCATTAACAACTCACTCTTATAAACAAATAGTGATGTGAAGGGTAAAAATAGACCACAGATTCAAATCTTAAAACCACACCAAAACCTACACACTGTAGAAAAAATTGGTTGATGAGTGAGTTTTACAGAAAATTTTGACCTTGGTGTTACTGTGAACTTATTATGACATTTGACCTCTTGTCTCCCTAACTAATGTCCTCTTAGTCATGATGTTCACTAAATATACTCAAGAAAACAAGATGCTGTAACAAGGTACAAACATGCTTCTGGACAATTCTAGTAAAATTAACTTCACAGAATACTCATATAGAAAAATAAGCTGATTCAGCAAAACAAATTAGTTCTGCTTGTACTCATATGGTCTGATGGCTTTTACCAAAAAGAGACATAATTTTGATAAAAAGTGGACAGTGTTTTAGTGATTTCATAGCATGGAACCAAATCTCTATACGATTGCAGCAAAACCTCTGAAAATAAATGCAGCCACAAGAAGTTGAAGAGAGATATATATGATGACTGAGTAACTAACATCACAACATACACTTTTATCTTGGAGATCGGACATAAGTCCTACAAAGGAGAAGAGATCACTGGGTTCTGTGTGTTTCCACAAGCACAAAACCATTATAATTTACTAAAGAGACAAATGATTAAGCTCAGTGAGGCCATGGAGATCACCTACTTGCGACTTTGGTTGGGTTTGGGCAGTAGTAGCGTAGATAGACACTTCGACCAGTGGTGTTGTTCTTGCCAATTGGAGTTTTCTTCCAGTGCTTCATGATATGTGTAAAAGAAAGCTTCATATGGTCATCGACCTCCTTGAGCATGAAGTACTTGGTGTTGAAGAAGACAAGAGTGTTAAGAAGGACATGAGGAGAGTGGGCACCTAACTGTTTACACTCCCAAAGGTGTTCCTCCTCAATACGACACACAAGCTGGCCTGTAAAACAGTCACACAGATTTTTTAAAAATTGCTCAAAAAAGAGCTTTTGTCCTAACTAAATCTTTAAGCTATATCCTTGCCAAAGTATCTATATAAAGTTGTACAACAGTTTCTTATAGACACAAAGGTAACATAATCATCTATGGATACACATAATATACTTTAAATGTTTTCGTCCAATTCTGTCTCAATTCACGAGCGCCGGCAGAGTGATCCATATTATATTTCATTTTAGACCTAACATTTAGCAGCAATAGAAGATTTTCTGGAATAATTTGAGGGAAAAAAAATTCTAAAAAAGATCTTCAAGATGAGAACCTAAAAAGTCCTAACATTAAATAAATGAATGTCACATCAGTAGAAAATAGAGTACTGATGATTTTAACTGTATCTAAATAATATACCATATTCTACAAAATATTCATAGGATTCTTAGGACATGTGAAATTAAATTGGACAAGGCAGCAATGATTATTTATGTGAAATAATTTATAGAGATTTATTGGATACATATTAAGTATCAGTGCTATACTTAAAGGTTTACTTACCTGCAGTGTTAATCAGTGCTATACTTAAAGGTTCACTTACCTGCAGTGTTAATCAGTGCTATACTTAAAGGTTCACTTACCTGCAGTGTTAATCAGTGCTATACTTAAAGGTTCACTTACCTCCAGTGTTAATCAGTGCTATACTTAAAGGTTCACTTACCTCCAGTGTTAATCAGTGCTATACTTAAAGGTTTACTTACCTGCGGTGTTAATCAGTGCTATACTTAAAGGTTCACTTACCTGCAGTGTTAATCAGTGCTATACTTAAAGGTTCACTTACCTGCAGTGTTAATCAGTGCTATACTTAAAGGTTCACTTACCTGCAGTGTTAATCAGTGCTATACTTAAAGGTTCACTTACCTCCAGTGTTAATCAGTGCTATACTTAAAGGTTCACTTACCTCCAGTGTTAATCAGTGCTATACTTAAAGGTTCACTTACCTCCAGTGTTAATCAGTGCTATACTTAAAGGTTCACTTACCTGCAGTGTTAATCAGTGCTATACTTAAAGGTTCACTTACCTCCAGTGTTAATCAGTGCTATACTTAAAGGTTCACTTACCTGCAGTGTTAATCTTGGGCTCATATCTGTTCAGGACTTCATTCAAACACTCTGTGAATTTCTCATAATACATATCCGTGAAGATGTTATCAATCCTGCTATTCTCGAACAGATACTGCTGAATTCCTGCAACAGAGTTCCTTCATAAATGTCACATATGTAACACTGGTCATCATCTATTTCAATGTTATTTTTAATATTGTTATATCATTAAAACCCAGGAAAAACTAATCTGACACTACTCCAACTGAGCTACCTATTGTACGCAATGTAACAGAGGTCATTATTTGTGTCAATGCCTCTGCTTGGATTTGAACTAAGGACCTCTGGCTTATTAGTCAACTGATGCTCAACCGTTAGAGCTAAAGAGAAGTTTTTTGAGGTTAGTATTTCATCAGAGTTATACATAACATTCAACAATTACAATTATAACAGAAACTCTGAAATAAAGTTATTTATCAGCATTAAAGATTCAAGATAATTTGAACTTCATTAACAATTTCTTAATAAAAAAGTACATCTCCTGACAGAAATAGGCCTGTGTCATAAATATTGAAAGACACATTTGTATTAGCATTATTGTGATATAATAACATAATGTTATCTTTGTCTCAGCAGAGAAAACATGCTGAGTCTGGCTTAAAATCTGCCTGTCTTACAGAAAAATAAATTTTAGATTTTTAAAGAACATGTTGTAATCATAAGAAATGTTAAAATATTTACAAGAGAATGACAAAGCCTACATGATAGACTTTAAAACTTACCTAGACAAAGGTAATAAATACTGTCGGGAGCATACTCGTCCCCATTGGGTTTCCGCACCTCCTTCACAAACAGACACAGTGAGTAATTGAGTTCGTCAGCGGAACATCCCATCATGTCTGTTTTGAAGAGTTTTAGTTTGCCAGATCCGTGTTTAGACACTTTCTCTAACTGGGCGTTCTTTAGTACCACCCAATGTTTCCATGCATTGACACCATATGTGTACTTTAGGTACATATTGGCATCTAGAGGAATCTCTGGTACTTCCTGCTCCATAACCTGCTCTGTCTCCATCTTCTCTTCCTGTTCGAGGGGATGTGCCACTTTCTGTCGCTTGCTTTTGCGACTGGCTCTTGACCCTGACCTCTTTGGGCCACGACCCCTTGACCTGGTCTCTCTTGTTGGAATAAGCTCCTCTTCTTCCTCTTCCTGAGGAGGAGGTGGTGGAGGTTCTGTAATGTAGGAAATGTTACATTACTTGCTATTTTAGACTCTAAAGTTAATTGGAGGCAAGGAATATTTATGCATAAATTTTTCGAAAATGATTAAGAAATCATTTGCAATGTAAGGTTTATTTGTTTACAACTGAAACATACTTTCAGAAGTAAATAAGCTGTATTTCACCAATTCAACCACTGCTGAACTACAAGATGTATGCATTTCAGTACAAAATTGAAATTTGAAAAATTTCAAAAAATCTAAACTGAGCATAAAGAGATTTTAGCTGAAATGCTGTTTCTTTCTGATATGTATAAATAATCACTTTTGCCTTTTCTCCAAATGAAGTATTGACAGATTTACCTTTACCTGTAACAGACAACAGCCTCTTTTTAATTAATATTTATTCTAAAATGATCCAGAATAATAGATATTTGTTATTGACCTTCAAACAAAATGTGAGATAAACATAATATTCATTTCGTAATCATGAAACTTCAGGTACACATGTTATTATCATGCAGTATTGGTACCAACTCATAGATAACAAGATCTCAACATACAGTACACAAATAAAGAACAATATACGTGCGCGACCAAACCAGTCATTTCTAATTTTTCAACAAACTTTATATATACAAATTGGCATGAATATTTAAAACATTAAAAGAAATGACTGGACAGATTTTTGGTGATATTGAGTGACCTTGTGTACCTGCTTTTGAAAGTTGCCATGAATGCGGACACAGAAATATCAGTGTTACATTAATAAGACTAAGTATGATCTCCCAATGTATCTTTTTTCTTTTAACGATTACGATGATAGAAACCAATCTCAACAAGCTCGGGGTAAATGGTAGGATCTTTATTGGTTTGTGGACCAGTTTCGCCTGAACCTATGTGGGCTTCATCAGGACACCAATTCTAAACAAAATTCTCTCCTAAAGTACATAAAAATCAGAAGGGTTCCTAGAATTTTCTTCTGAGTCACTGGCTCTTGAATAATTTTTCAAACCTTTACATAAAAACCTGGAGCTAGAATTAAATGCTCTGAACTCATAATCTTTCTCTTGAGATGTATCTGGCTGCTGACTTCTAAGCTTAATACTTCCATTGTTGGTTTGAATAATAACATTCTTTTATTGTTCCTGACTGAAATTTCTTTGCAGAAATTGATAAAATTATCCTGGTTTTCCGCACAAATTGCACTGTGAGGTCTTGAATCAATCTTCTCTGTGTTTTCCCTTCTCCAACCTATTTCTATCAAGTTTGAGGATTTATATAGCAAATTTGTAATTCAATCACATATTGTTTCATAAACTTAACAAAAGTAAAAAGAGGAAAACAATAAATATTAAATAAATTTGGTATGGTATCAGTCAATAATAATTCAAAATTTAGTTAAATATCTTGGTTGGTATTTTATATTATGTTAATCAGTTAAAGAATTCTACAAAAAAAAGTTCTTCAAATATTCTGATTACTGGGAGAGAGACAGCTATGTTACAGTGATAAAAATACTGCTCAATCAGCACTTTTTATCTTTATATCAATATATCTTATATTAAGCAGAACCTTTCTGACAACAGCAGAATGGTGATGAGCATGTCATTCCACATTGAGCTTTTTGGTCAAATAGGGCAATGATAGGATAAGGTGACATTAATCTACACATGGACCATATATTCTCTACATTGTTGTTGGTACTGTACTTTAAAATACGTAGTAAATACAAAATTTGATAGATTCTCATTCTCTGTCAGATACATACAGTGTGGCAGAATATTCAGAAAATTTTACTTATATTTTCAGATCTGTAAAACGAAAAAAATTTATGTTTGAGAAGTTGATCAATAACTGAATACCATTAAATGACCCCGATATTTACTATATATTCTGTAAAAGAATACTGAAACATACATACATACTGGCACATAAATTGCAATTTCACATCTCCAAGCTGTTTCTGCCTTTTAGAAGCCATTCATGCATGAAATATGATCCATACCAATAAGAAGCACTTAAGATACACTAGGATCTATGATAAGTACACAACTACTTAAACCTACCAGTGTTTACAGGGACAGGGTCTATGGAACTTTCAAGGTCCATCACAGGTTCAGAAGTCATCTCTGTTGCCATACGAAGGGCCATCTGCAGCATGTCTTCACCAAACTCTCCGTTGGCTTGGCCAGGTGTGGGTGTGACTTCAGGGACTGGGTCAGGCATAGGTGAGGGAGAGTTTGACACAGCATTCTCATCAGCTGTTGGAGTTTCTGTTATAGGAAAAAAATCAAATGCTATTGATTTGTTTGTTTTATAATATATAAATAAGTACATGTATATATATTTTATAAATTTCTGATCCTGTTTAATACCAGAAATACTACACAGAAAAACTTTCTTGTAAAACTTCAAAATGATGAGGTTGTGCACAGACACACTTTATTGTTTGATAAGCAGAAACAAGTATTGTGTTTTATAAGTTGACGATTCTGTAAATTCAGAAAAGTTTTCCCTCATTATAACTGATCGGTGCTAGAGGCCATAACACTAGTATCATATAACACGATAATGCAAAGCATGACATTATCCCCTGTGCCCCACTGTTTAATGAAAAGACAATCAATCACAACATATGTAAATATTATAATAACAGATATCATCTCCATTCCACCACTGTTACTGATTTTTTCATGTAGATCATCTTTTCCTGTAGTATGGTTTGGCATCATTCACAGATACAATGGTTACATAATCAACAGGTTAAATAGGTTCTATTTATTAATTATAATCGATCCATACAACTGAAAGTATTGAAATGAAGTACTTAACTAAAGTACTAGTTTTATAAATACAAAGGTTTAGGTAATTATCTTGAACAGTTTAAAAGAACAGGTCTTAAAGGACTGCACTTTGTGATTTTACCTATCTGTTTCCATGGTAACTGAAAAAGTATTTAAATGGAGAACTTCCTCATAACAAAAGGCACCACTACATTACTAGCTTGATAACTGTATAAAGTTTTGAGTGATTGTTTTCAATGTTTTCAGAGCACTGGTCCGGAAAATGACCCACAGAACCCGATCTAACATCCCCTGCAAACATGTTTTACGGGTGATAATGAAGACCATAAATATCTTTTTACATATGTACTACCATTTGTCCTAGACCAGAGTAACATATAAGTCCAACATTGTTCAGGACTAGCATGCCATACTTACTTGCGGAAGTCAAAATGTCCTCATTGTCTGATTCTGATTCTGAGTCTGGATCCACAACTGCCACTGCCTCAGCCATCATCAAGAGCTCAGCTTCCAAAGGGTCAGACGGTATTCTTTCCTGGATTTCCTGTTCCCATGTAAGTCTAATTAGTATTCTGTATTCTGGACAATTTTTACACTACAGTTGGTTTTATGATACAGGAAATGAAGGTGCAATCCGTAATAACTTTATGCTCTTCATGCTAAATGGGACATGGTAAGGAATTAACATGTATGTTTATTTCAATAACTAATTATAAAAAACTATCAACATCTAAACCATGGCCACTGGTCTACTGTTTACTACACTGACCTTTATGTGTTTGAAGATGCTGCTAGCTGACTTCTTGGTTGTGGGGATGAAGCATGGTACTGGAATGGGAACAGGGATTGGGATTGGTACCGGTGTGTACTGAGTGTACATCATCATTGGTGTAGGGATGTAGTAAGGAATGGGCAACGGTACCAGGCATCGCTTAGGCGTCCAGTCGTCCTCTACAACACAAAACAATGGCTCTGTCAATATGTATTTTCTTCTAATGGTGAATCTGACACTATCAATTTTTCACAGATATTGCTATCTTCAAGACAGGTGTAGATAAGTGACAATTTGCTTCTCACTCTAAGCAGGCCACATCACTATTTGGAGTCTGATCTAGCGGAAAAACACTGTACATATATATCTGTACACAAAATTATATTCTGAAATTACAACGATGGCAGAATTAATTCTTGACTATAACTTATCTGTGTCTCCTTGACTTGTGTGTGGGGTTTGACCTTGATGTTAACTGTAACTTTCCTGTCTGTGTCTCCTTGTTGTGTGTGTAGGACCTGACCTTCCTGTGAACTGTAACTTACCTGTCTGTGTCTCCTTGTTGTGTGTGTAAGACCTGACCTTAGTCTGTACTGTAACTTACCTGTTTGTGTCTCCTTGTTGTGTGTGTAGGACCTGACCTTAGTCTGTACTGTAACTTACCTGTCTGTGTCTCCTTGGTGTGTGTGTAGGACCTGATCTTGGTCTGAACTGTAACTTACCTGTCTGTGTCTCCTTGTTGTGTGTGTAGGACCTGACCTTAGTCTAAACTGTAACTTACCTTTCTCTGTCTCCTTGTTGTGTGTGTAGGGCCTGACCTTGGTCTGAACTGTAACTTACATGTCTGTGTCACCTTGTTGTGTGTGTAGGACCTGACCTTGATGTGAACTGTAACTTACCTGTCTGTGTTTCCTTGGTCTGTGTGTAGGACCTGACCTTAGTCTTAACTGTAACTTACCTGTCTGTGTCTCCTTGTTGTGTGTGTAGGACCTGACCTTGATGTGAACTGTAACTTACCTGTCTGTGTCTCCTTGTTGTGTGTGTAGGACCTGATCTTGGTCTGAACTGTAACTTACCTGTCTGTGTCTCCTTGGTCTGTGTGTAGGACCTGACCTTAGTCTTAACTGTAACTTACCTGTCTGTGTCTCCTTGGTCTGTGTGTGGGGCCTGCAGGATGTGGCCTTGGTCTGTACAAAAGGTTTACACAAGAGTGATTTGTTCTTGACTGTCTTTGGTGGTGGAGGTTGGATAATGATCTGTTGTGGTGGTGTCTGCATGGCTGTAGTGGTAACAGATGCCTGTCAATACAAAATTCACTAAATTAAATAAATCCTGTACATTGATCACTTGTCAATGAAATTTACAAAGTTTTCTATCCATTATTTGACAGATGGTAAAAAAGTAAACTGGTAAATCTGTCTATGATGAATTTATTTTCACCAACATCAAACACACATAAAAAAGTACTATTTTACATAGTTGTTACAAAAGAAGTTGCTCATTGTATGTTACGAGACACACAAGAAATTTACATAACATTGTTATGCGCGATACAATGTGATAATTGACAGTATTTTGTACATTCCTGGAATGGTTTATAGGTTAAATTGTTTGAATTAAGACACAGACAGCGCACCTGTGTAATCCCTTAAAAAAATAAAAATAATCCTAAATCTCAAAGAAACAAGAACTAGTGGTTGATACAAACCCTTGGTTGTGCCTGACTGTTGACGAGATTTGGCATCTGAGTATTTCTCATTGCTTGTTGCTGCGGCCCTGGAATATACAGCAGTTTTATGGTTATTTCTGTATTTCTATCAACACTTTAATTTCATGAGTAACATACAATATTTCCATGAGCAACATACATCAGGGTTTGTTTTATGAGGAGAACAAGTTAAAGATATATAGACATTAATTACCCTTCTCTAACAGACATAATGCCACATTGCCTGGCTACAGTTCAGATAGTTGTTGATCAACATTATTATATATAAATGGATTAAGAAAAAACATCAAAAGACAATATTTCTTTCATATCTTGTACATTGTTTTATATAAGACATATTTTCTTAGCATTCAATTATGTGATATGCTGTCTTTGATGTGTCATTAAGTTATCTTCTGTTGTTCCATTTGTCTGAGACTTGTTTACAGTAAGAACTGATGAGATTCTTTAGAACAGTATAATAGAATCAGGTATAATTGTGTCATACTTTAACATAAAGGTACTCCTCCTGAAATCTGGCAGATGAACCACATCACACATGACATTTATTCTTAGAGAATTTCTGGCTAGGACAATGAAATACAAATAGCAAACAGTGGAAGTAGATATTAGACCTTTGACTGTGACCCTATGTGTATGCAAATGGGAAAAAGTCTGCAACAGATATTGACTTTCAAACAGTTAGTGGTATTTAAATACAGAAAATGACCATAATATTACTGGTCACAACCTGGGCCGAAGGCTGAATATTATCCTCATTCTTAAACAGGAACAAAAGTATCTTTATAGTTAGCAATATTAATTAAAGCGGCATTCTAAACTAAGAATTAAATATCAAACTACATGTGTACCAAGCATAAAAAAGCATGCATTAAATCATAACACCAAAGCACCGTTCACCCAATTCTGGGATCATCATTTTCATCTCTAATTCTATTTAATCTCTTTTACTAGTTTTTGTAAATGAGACCATGGTCTTACACACTGATTAATCAAAGTAAATATACACAGAAGCCAGGAAATTCAAAAAGCAGATGTATATATATATAAGGTAATTCTATATTTGTTTACCAAAGACATTTTGTTAAAGGATGGAAGGAGAGAAACTTGACAAATTTTTCAAAAATAAAGGTGAATTTTTTTGAAAGAAATCACTGAAGCAGCCGAAGCATCCTAGTACATTTCTAACACCAATTACAACAGATATATATAATATTATACATCAAATCAGTATGCATTAATTTCTGACGGTTAATCTTCAAACAAATGAAGACTTTATAATAAACTAAATGCTTCCTTATCATTCCCTTTGACAGCCAATGGGTAATTGCAAGGCGTGTAAAAGCACACAGAAATAAATTATAAGCAGATTTTTAAATATAGTATTTAAGCATAAGATATAAAACTAATCTTGTTCCAAAAAATACATAGTTTATGATTAGCTATTTAAATAAATATTTTTTACTGGTATATAAGTAGATACATGACTGAAAAAGCTCAATTCTAAAAACATATTGTATCTGTACAAAATCCTGATTTAAAATGATTATATTTAAGATACAGAAGTTTGATTGAGAGTTTTGATGATTCACTGAATCAAAATAGTCAACTATAATGCATGATCTTGTATATTAAGTAGAAAAAAAAACCTCACGTATCCATAATGTATATCAGTAATGTGTTATTCAGCTATACAATTGGAAACAAGATAAAGTGTTCTCTATGATATTAAAAGTGCATGCATTTTGCAAATTAAATACCTCGTAGCAACTGGACATTGTTTTTTTTAGGCTGGGTCTTGCTTGCATCTGCAGCAAGATAAAATTTTGTTCATTTTCATACTTAAATCTATAAGTAAAAGTGTTGATAAAATTTGAAAATGACAAAACCTTTATATCAAAATCATGTTATAGATGGAGAAATGTAAATCTCAAATCAAATTATATTAAAATGTATCAAATGAGATAATAAATGTCCTACCTTCTACACAAATCTAATGGTACTGTTTTTATATGAAACTGACTATTAATGCAAGACTGTAAAGTCAAACTTAAATAAAAAAGACATCTGTGTCAGTCTCATATATTAGGTAATCTATCTAACAGTACAGCAGAGGATGGGAGAAAACAAGGAATGTATGATAACTAGTTGTTAAACTTACCTGTGTTTTGAGATGATAAGGAAACCACATTGGAGATGACTGGCACATGTGTCTGTTTTTGCTGAGAGGTAACCACTTCAACAGATATATACAAAATACAATGCACATATTGATAAGGGTTGTCTAATGATAAATCTAATAAACCAGGTAGAGACAGGGGCCATGAAGACATCTCTGATTCCCACTTCCGTCCAGTTTTTTCCCTCCATTCTAATAAGCCCACTATATCAATGTCAACAACCACATTTGATTCACTATCTTTAGCGAATTCTCATAATAATTTAAATAATGAAATAATTTGGCCCATTTGGAAAAATGTTAAGATCACTGAGTTTCCCTCAATTTATTATATGAAGACTGCATGATTTGGTGAAAATTATGAGAATCTAAGACAAGAAAGAGGCTCATTGATGCAGACTTTACTGTCTATATGTATCAACAGTTATAAGAGATCATGATGTCCTTTGCTACATACACAATACGTGTTTATAATGTGATAGTTCTGACTAACAGACTTACACCAGGAGATACCTGTTTATAATGTGATAGTTCTGACTAACAGACTTACACCAGGAGATACCTGTTTATAATGTGATAGTTCTGACTAACAGACTTACACCAGGAGATACGTGTTTATAATGTGATAGTTCTGACTAACAGACTTACACCAGGAGATACGTGTTTATAATGTGATAGTTCTGACTAACAGACTTACACCAGGAGATACGTGTTTATAATGTGATAGTTCTGACTAACAGACTTACACCAGGAGATACGTGTTTATAATGTGATAGTTCTGACTAACAGACTTACACCAGGAGATACCTGTTTATAATGTGATAGTTCTGACTAACAGACTTACACCAGGAGATACGTGTTTATAATGTGATAGTTCTGACTAACAGACTTACACCAGGAGATACGTGTTTATAATGTGATAGTTCTGACTAACAGACTTACACCAGGAGATACGTGTTTATAATGTGATAGTTCTGACTAACAGACTTACACCAGGAGATACCTGTTTGTAATGTGATAGTTCTGACTAACAGACTTACACCAGGAGATACGTGTTTATAATGTGATAGTTCTGACTAACAGACTTACACCAGGAGATACGTGTTTATAATGTGATAGTTCTGACTAACAGACTTACACCAGGAGATACGTGTTTATAATGTGATAGTTCTGACTAACAGACTTACACCAGGAGATACCTGTTTATAATGTGATAGTTCTGACTAACAGACTTACACCAAAGATACCTGTTCTCTACCATTACAGGTCAAATATCACTTATAGCCTATGATAAAATTTCATTAGACAACAGTAATGAACATGATTTCTTTCAATACAGAATAGAGGTCAAAATTATTTTAGTGGTCAAAATACTGACCTTTCAACTTTACAGGAGTTTGATTATTCATATAGAGCAAAGCACTTAAAAAACTAAACATAGGAAAACATCTACTTGACCCCAAGTCTCAAAAACACTTCTATCCATTGTTTGGGGTTTTGCCTATTACATCTGAGCAAATTATCAATTATATTTTTTGGGTGGTACTTTAAACAAAACCTAGAGTCCTGGGGTATGATAAATACTTTACTGGAATAGCCCTAAAATACCTGAATACCTTGGGTGGGGTAAATGTTTTATTGGAACAGTCCTTCACAAAACCCATAGTCCTGGGGTGGGGTAAATGCTTTATTGGAACAGTCCTTCACAAAACCCATAGTCCTGGGGTGGGGTAAATGCTTCATTGGAACAGTCCTTAACAAAACCCATAGTCCTGGGGTGGGGTAAATGCTTTATTGGAACAGTCCTTCACAAAACCCATAGTCCTGGGGTGGGGTAAATGTTTTATTGGAACAGTCCTTCACAAAACCCATAGTCCTGGGGTGGGGTAAATGCTTTATTGGAACAGTCCTTCACAAAACCCATAGTCCTGGGGTGGGGTAAATGCTTTATTGGAACAGTCCTTCACAAAACCCATAGTCCTGGGGTGGGGTAAATGCTTTATTGGAACAGTCCTTCACAAAACCCATAGTCCTGGGGTGGGGTAAATGCTTTATTGGAACAGTCCTTCACAAAACCCATAGTCCTGGGGTGGGGTAAATGCTTTATTGGAACAGTCCTTCACAAAACCCATAGTCCTGGGGTGGGTTAAATGCTTTATTGGAACAGTCCTTAACAAAACCCATAGTCCTGGGGTGGGGTAAATGCTTTATTGGAACAGTCCTTCACAAAACCCATAGTCCTGGGGTGGGGTAAATGCTTTATTGGAACAGTCCTTCACAAAACCCATAGTCCTGGGGTGGGGTAAATGCTTTATTGGAACAGTCCTTTACAAAACCCATAGTCCTGGGGTGGGGTAAATGCTTTATTGGAACAGTCCTTCACAAAACCCATAGTCCTGGGGTGGGGTAAATGCTTTATTGGAACAGTCCTTCACAAAACCCATAGTCCTGGGGTGGGGTAAATGTTTTATTGGAACAGTCCTTCACAAAACCCATAGTCCTGGGGTGGGGTAAATGTTTTATTGGAACAGTCCTTCACAAAACCCATAGTCCTGGGGTGGGGTAAATGCTTTATTGGAACAGTCCTTAACAAAACCCATAGTCCTGGGGTGGGGTAAATGCTTTATTGGAACAGTCCTTCACAAAACCCATAGTCCTGGGGTGGGGTAAATGCTTTATTGGAACAGTCCTTCACAAAACCCATAGTCCTGGGGTGGGGTAAATGCTTTATTGGAACAGTCCTTCACAAAACCCATAGTCCTGGGGTGGGGTAAATGTTTTATTGGAACAGTCCTTCACAAAACCCATAGTCCTGGGGTGGGGTAAATGTTTTATTGGAACAGTCCTTCACAAAACCCATAGTCCTGGGGTGGGGTAAATGCTTTATTGGAACAGTCCTTCACAAAACCCATAGTCCTGGGGTGGGGTAAATGCTTTATTGGAACAGTCCTTCACAAAACCCATAGTCCTGGGGTGGGGTAAATGCTTTATTGGAACAGTCCTTAACAAAACCCATAGTCCTGGGGTGGGGTAAATGCTTTATTGGAACAGTCCTTAACAAAACCCATAGTCCTGGGGTGGGGTAAATGCTTTATTGGAACAGTCCTTCACAAAACCCATAGTCCTGGGGTGGGGTAAATGCTTTATTGGAATAGTCCTTCACAAAACCCATAGTCCTGGGGTGGGATAAATGTTTTACCGGAAGAGCCCTAAATAAGAGCTAAACCTGGAGTCCTGATGTCTGATTACTGGAATAAATAGCCCATTCCCCAAAACAAAAAACAATGGAAAAGCAATCATACAGAATGGAATTCTTTTGTCTAAGTCTATTTATTACTTTATAGGTTTTTTTCTATTTCTGAGGAGAGATCAAAATCTTTAAAAATTGAACCTTTAAAGTCAAATAGAGGAAGTTGATAGCTGTTTGATGACTTCCTTCAAAAATACATCCACTTTGCTTCAAACTACTCTTAAAACCACCTGAATTCAAACCATTGAGAAAAAATTTGGCACATCAGCTAGCCTTACACTTTAGACTGTGCTTACTTTATTAATCGATAATACTGCTGATAGATGCAGAAGATAATTACTTTAGAATCAGTGATTTTACCACATTTAATCAAAGGGGGAAAAAATTGTGTACCTCTTGAGGAAGCTCTAGTAGGAGTGTTTCTAGTATTGGTTCTTCCTACTGTCGTTTTCTGATTTTGTGGTGCAGTGTTCATTATAGGTGTCTGAGATTTATTAGATCCTCCAGCAAACTGTGATTGAAATGTCATGACACACTGATAGGAACAGAAGTTCCTAACTGAAGCATCACTCATTGTGAGATGATACTGGGCAGGTACAAACTTTCTACACTGGTCACAGACCACCGCCTGATTGGATGTCGCCTGTAGATTCACTCTGTATAATGAAAGACAGTTGAGTGAACAGAACAGTTGGTACTTGTTGTTGGCATCAACACGCTCGATCATGTCAAAGTTGCTCTTTTTACAATTACACCATGCACAAGATACAACCTTTTTGTTCAGAGCTTTGAATGTGTTCACACACATAAAGCTGCAGAAACGTTTCTGTTGGCCTTCAAATTGTATATACTGTGGTGCCATACCCTCATTGTAGCAGTAGACACCACAATTGTCACAAGTGTTCATGGTCAGTTTATTGGCATACTGAAAAGCTGAGAAGCATGGATCGCCACACAATCTGTTCATCTTCCCTTCCAATTTAATCTCATGCTTCACAGGCCCTGTTTTCCTACAAACAGCACATTGGAAGTTCCCTTTAGGGGGCACCTGTGATTTCTGAGGACGGTCAATACCAACAATCTCAACATCACGATTGGATTTCTCCTCATACTTCTGCAAACAGCTTTGACTACAAAAGTCCTTGAATAAAGCATCTTTCCCAACTGGTGCTACAAAAGCATCAGATATTTTGGTAACATCCTTTTGGCAAAATTCGCAAAGTTTTTGTCTCTTCTTGAATTCATTATAGCAAGGGCCAGAACAAAATTGTTTGACATCATTATCAACCCGAGCACAGAATTTACCCTTGGAGGCTTGCTGAACAGTAAGACCACAATAGTTACAAGCAGCATTCAGTCCAGCTTGAAATTTTCCCAAACAGTCCTCACCACAGAAGTCCATACATTGCCAGTTGAGGAATGGCTTTGATGTCTTTACATTCATCAGCTGACATATGGAGCATGTCTTGTATCTCTCCTGAGAAGGTGGAGGAACAGGTGGTGGCGGGGCTTGGGCAGGACCCTCTGGCTTCTTTGTCACCTGGTTGTCAGCTGATGCACGAAGAAACATAGTGGGGTTGGCACGGAACTGCTTGAAGCAGATATCATCACACAGATGCTTGATATCTCCATTTCTCACAATGTTATATTTACATTTACCAATCTGAAAAAGAAATATCACAAAAGGTGATAAAATAGTCAACACAAAAATGTAAATAGATCCGAACATCTTGATCAACCACTTCAATCCTTTTTGTCCATAAGAAAACTAAACCATAATAATACAAAAAAGCATTTTTTCAATGAATTTTTTTAGTAGTAAACTCTTGGTTCAAACAAGAACATCACGCTTTCTTCCAATTTAATGAAATGCTGAAGGTACTATGTTTGTAAAAGTATCTGTTCTCAGTTTGTAATCACATGCAAACATATCTATTTCTCATACCTACCTTTTGACAAACAATGCAGGTCTGAGTTTTGGATGTACTCTTAACTTTCGTCTCCCCACTTTTAGGTTCTTGTTTGATTTCTTTGGAAACTGAAAATGTAACATGATTTACAAACTAAATAGCTAAAACTGAAATAAATATGAACTCTGCTGAAATCTAACTTTAAATCATAAGTTCAGTTATCCATTCTGAAATAATGTTTCATGAAACATCAACATTTGACAGGAACTGACTTCATGTGAGGCCTTGAAAAGTCAAGTTTTTCCCCTATATTATATTTGTGTCAAGAAAGCTGCAACTCCACAACATAAAACCATTAATTTTTCAGCTACCTCAATTTCAGTTTCAACAAATAATTGTAAAGACTTTATAATTTTCCTTACTAAACCTTAGACAGTTTGCTGTACATGATAGTAAACAGGATCTTACCATTTTCTTCTTTGATATTGAGTTCCCCTTCTTTTTTGTCTTCTTTCTTTTCCTCAAACTGTGAAATTTACATATAAGAGAATGGAATAAAAAAAGATGTATTGTTTGTAAATAGTAAAATGTTTATGATTTGCAGGTTTGATTATCCTTGTAGGTCTCTGTGAATTCAGGCACCATCTCATACCGATTGTGACTTCCAAGTAGTTAGCATCTCTTCATGATAGAATAATGCTGACAATAATAAAACCAATTAAATGATTCTTCAGGATGATGAAATCAAAGTACTATTAATACTAATACAAGGTCCCGGTACTACACTTCCCCTTTCAATCTTCACATTGACATTACTACCCAATGAATGAAGAAAACAATGTACCTGCCCAGCAGTAGTTGGTGTAATGTATACATATACTGAGCCAGAGTGCTGTTTTGTATGTGGTTGATTTCTTCTGATGACATATCAACAACATTTTCATACTAATGATTTAAGATCTTCTAGAAACTTACATTTTGTTCTGGCATGTCAACCCCTCCACTGACTGAGGCAATCTGTAGACACATCTCTCCATTTTCCACTACAGGCCTTTCATCTTTGTTTTCATCTTTGTTATCATCTTTCATCGTTATTTTTTCATCTTTGGCCTTGTTTCCTTCATCATCAGAATGAATGTCTATAATCTTAACATCATCATCTTCATCATCTTCTGCTGATTTAGGTTTCGTGTCTTCTGAAGGTTCAGTTATTACTTTTTCCAATGTAACTTCACCTTCCTGTTTCATTTCAGTATCATTATCTGTATCTTTGACATGTGCAATTTTTTCTCCAACCTCTTCTTGAACGCCATTTTCTTTATCATCAAGCTTCTGCTTGCTTTCATTCTCTGTGTCTATCATTTCAACATCATCATCTTTGTTGCTTTCATTTGCATCAGATACCTTTCCACTATCCTCCCCAGTTTCTTTCTGAGAAGAATTTTGGTCAACATCCATCATCTCATTGTCCTCTAACATCTCTGCATTTCCAGTAACAGAGCCGATTTGAAGCATCATATCTCCGGGAGAAGCCTGACCTTCATCTTGTTGGGATTCATCTAACATTCTTTCACTCCGTTCATTATTTTCAGAATCATCCATCATTTCCTTGTTTTCCACATCTTCCAGCAATTTATCTTCCTCAACAATATCTTGTTCCTCTGCTGACAACTGAACAGGTGTATTGTTTTCCTCTGTTTCAGCAGTAACCTCTTCATTTGTCTCTGAAGTTTCCAAAACTGACTCATCGTGTAAACTGTCATTTTGACAAACTGATTCATCTACTTGCATGGTCTGGTCATCACTCTGGTTTTCTGTCCAATTTTCAGTGTTTTCTAAATTGTCAACATTTTCTGATTCTGTCAATGTAGTCTCTACAACAGCAGAATCGTCTTCTAGTGATGTCTTTTCTGCCACAGGTGAGTTATCTAATACTGGAGGCTCCTCTGTTTCTGCTACACCCGGTGTGTCTTCTACTGGCAATGAATCATCTACACTTAGTGTGTCCTCTACTGGTGATGAATCTCCTACATCTGGTGTGTCCTCTACTGGCGATGAATCATCTACAGCTGGTGTGTCCTCTATTGGCGATGAATCATCTACAGCTGGTATGTCCTCAACTGCAGTTGAAGCATCAGCAGTTTGTGTGTCCTCAACTGCCAATAAACCTTCTGCATTCTCTGATTCATCATTGATGACGTTCTCTACATCTCCTGCATCAGCTGTTTCCAATGTTTCAATATCTTCTTCCTTTTCATTTTCAATGTCTTCCACTTTTTGTTCTTCTGTGCTGGAAATTGTATTGTCATCTAGATTTTGGTTCACAGCTTCTTCTGAAAGATAAACAATCTGATCAAAATTGATTTGATTTCACAAATATACTATATTACTATAATGGGTTTTATGATAGAAGATAAAATTACAAAGGTTGAAATACAGTTAATCACAATTTCTTTCAATGTTGAAGCAGTATTATTTTGAGATAGTTAATCATGAAGTTAGTAAACTGCATTTTCTTTTCTGTTACCCAGACAATGAAACATCATCCCTTGAAATGATTAGAAGTTTCGGTTCATCTCAGGAGTCTTGCAAATACTCTTTTTCTTATGAGGGCCCAAAAAATTCAGAATTGAATATTTTTCAGGAAATGTCAAAATTCAGACATCAATAAAATTACAAAAGTTTACGAGATTTTTCAAAACGACAAAAATCATGAAAACAGAAGATATAGCAAGGACAAGGGCTACCAATAGTATTAGGTTTTCACATGGTCTCTCATAAGCATGACTGAATTGTTTGCTGGGTTTATGACACAGTGAAAAGCCAGGGTCAGTTTTAGGTGAGTCTCCTTATAGAAACTGTTGACTAGCTCACTGAACAACTGATCCACATCATTAAAGGTGAAGTGTCTTACCCAAGGACACAATCACATCAGCAGAGGCCAGTCAGTATCTCAGTTTCCTGAGAAACACAAACCCTTGCAGGTAGGTAGTGTTAAACCATGAACCGCATATCTTCATTCAAGGTTATGTAGGTCAATGCCTTACTTGACTGAGGTATCACAGAGCTCTATCATTACCTTGTAATAGGAGTGGGGAAATACACCACCAGACCAGGATTCAAATGCAAGCCTCTTCAAACTATATATGAGCACTTTACTAATTGTGTTAAGAATGGACACTGTATTTTTCTGCTACCATGCCCCCTCAAAGACTCATCTATTTACAACCCTGCTTCAGGTGTCCCCTTCTCAAGCCTTCACCAACTTGAAACAAAAGTTGGTCACAAGCACCAAATGTAACAGGAGCAGAAAAATGCACCGCCACACCTGGATTCAAACCCAGGACCATCTATAATCTTGACCGAAGCTTTGCTAACTGAGCTACCTGGTTGCCAATGATTGACGCATTTCAATTCTGCTACACTTTAATACCAGTGGGAAAACATTTGCCATTTCTGCCTTTAAATAGATGTAGAAAGTAAAATACATATTTAATATCATATATACTGGTCCTTTACCCACCTGTTGTGTTATCACCAGTCTGTTCAACATCCCTCAGCTGCAAGAAAAATAATAAGCAGTGATCATAAAATCTCTGAACAACAGCAAAAGTATGATAAAACTGATTGAACAAACCATAAAACCCACCTGATAAGAGCAGATTTGAATTCTGAACAAACCACAATCCCACCTGACAAGGGCAGATCTAAATTGTAAGAGCTTTTCTATGAAATGTTTTGCACACAAGAAAAATTCCATCAATGCCCATAATCTATTTTGTAAAAATACTTGTCATATTGATAACTATAATCAAACAGTTTAAGTTAAATTTTTTTATAAATCTAAAGCAGTGACATAATCCTGAAATGCTGCTTTACAATCCATTCATCAAGAGTATTTTCTAACAAACATTTTAGTAATATTACCAGCAGCATGTAAAAAACGACAGCAAGTCTAGGTTGTTTTTTGTTTTTTTGTTTGTATGAAAGGGCAATATTCTTTAATTCATGAAATCAACAACTTATCGCCATTTGTTTCTTTAATTATAAATCATCATTACTATTACATTTATTGAGAACCCATGGTTGGCACGTTTTTGAAATTAGTTTGATCTATATTTAAGTCTGAGCCTGAAAAAATCTATAACTTCTTATCAAATTTGCCTATTATATTTTCTAGTATTGTGAAATAATATGTTCTACTATTTCTCATTGACTAAAATATTGTCATGTGATTCCAAATTATATTATATGACTCATGCCTTTGATCTCTGGTTGAGAGAGCGATACTCATGAAGATTTGCCAAAAACACAATACAACTTCAAATTGCCAGTCACCTGCATACAGGTCTGCCTGAATCAAGTGATTTCTGTGACATGGACATTTTGATCCAGGAAAGTTACAGTAAAAACATTTGACACACCAGCATAACATAATATTTCAACTTCCTATCAAAACGAGATCAGTGCTAACAAGGAACTTCATGGAATTTACATCCCCCGCTTTCCAAACATATTGTAAGTAAATATTTTAGAGGTTAGGAGTAAACATGTCATAATGCTATGTACAATGATATAGTTTAATGATAAACTGATAATATTTGTGGGACTTCACGTTACATCTAAATCAGATTATATTTAGGAAAAATAGAGCACAAAAACTAACCAACCAATAAATGAAAGGATACCTAATTAGTATGCACAGATATTAACAGATGATGCTGATTGCTGAACACAGTCTTATGTGCCCTCATATGCATCTGCTGACCAAGTTTCACCCAAGTCGGATGATATTTGGGGAAGTTAGAACACGGAAATAAAAGTGTGACAAACGGACGAACCCAAATTAATATCCCCCGGATGGGGGATAATTACAAAAGATGGGTCACAGACTATTTATCATGTATGAAAATTTTAAAAGACAGTGATTCTGTTAAAAATATAAACTTTTAAATAATTTTACCATATCATTGTTCAAAGTATAACAGACTTATCATTTGTTGATATAACATGTAGAATTGTTTGTTATTCTAGTGTGTATGTAAATTGATGCCATTCAATACTAATGCAATTAATTATTGCAGGCATTTTGGCTAAGCTTTAAATGATGGTTGTCATCCATGTACCAGAAGTGGCTTACCCTTCCTGAACCTCTGGTCCTATACCCCTTGGTCAACTTTTTCTATATTATGTAAATCTGTCTTTTTTTCATGTTACTGACTTTGAGTTTGGGTTGCAATTTTCTTAACTTCTCATAATTTTCTGATTGTTTTCAAAGTCAGATTACATATACATGTAAGTAAATAAAAAAATTATTGACATCCATCATTAAACATTGATATTCACCTAAGCCTCGGTGAATATTGCTTTTCTGGATTAATTAAAGTCTTTTATTACAATGTTTGCGTTATTCCTTTTACTGATTTTCCGATTTCAAACATTATATGTTACTGTTATACCAACTCAAAATTAATAATATAACAATTTTTACAATGCAAGAAAATTTAATTGATAGTGAAAATGGCATTATTATCAACATCAGTTTCCTTGTTTTTCACACAGACAAGAAATACATTGTTTTATTTGAATTTTTAATTCAATCATCTCTGAATGATTTCAATTTCATATTGGGTTAAATTGATTTTTTTCCTGAAATAAAAAAAAAATCATTTTTGATAATGATATTTAGCTATTATAGCATTTTGATGTTGGTCAATACAAGTAGTCATCACATAGTTTATTTATTAACCTCAAATAAAACCATTAACTAGTGCCCACTGAATCCTCAGTCGTTATTGTTAACAATGTTCATAAAACATGTATTGACATCACAAAAAGTTAATTGGTTATTATTGCTTTGTAAGTTGTCTTTTATAATAATCATAACATTAATTCACAAACTCAACCAAGTTCAAAACCTCCCTTTATTTACAGTGTGATTGAACAATGTACCATGTTACTGTAAAGATCTATTACTTAACAATTTTCTACATACTTAGCAATTGTATTGTGCTGGTTTGTGAGGCTTGAAGTGGTGGGGTGGGGGGTCAAGAATGAGTTATCCCCCTTCTCATGTATGCTACAGCTGAACTGATTTATCAGAATTAATGAAGTACTATTAATGAATCTTTTTTAATAAGTTGCAAACCTACTAATAAATTCTGATAGTTTACCTCTGTATCCACAGCATCTTTGTCATAGTTTTTTGTGCTCTGAGACTGATCAGACGCCAATAGTGTACCGTCTCCTGCTTCATTCATTGCCGCGGCTTTTCAAATGGTGTCCTCAATGCAGGTCTCTTTTACCTATCCTGATATGAAATGTTGCCAAATTGGCAATGTCAAATTTCAGATGTAACACGAGGGGTTTCAGATGTATAAATGGTGAATCAAGCCTAAATAGCGCGCGAGCCATTCATGAAGCCCTTTGACTGTACCTCAACCTCGTTTTCAGATATTGCCTCTGACTTGAAGGCGACCGTGTCTGATATTTACAGAAATGAACTGAAAAATGAAATTTAATTTTCATTTTAAAAATAATTTTCTTGCTTCAGCCGTTTCAAAAGTCGGAAATTAAGTCTGTTGAAATGAAAAATATCTTTGTCACGTGTTTAAATACATGAAATTTAATCTGTTCATTGTGTGGAGATTCTAATATTTGATACGGATCAGGGCTAGCCATTTTTTTCTCAATGGGGCCAAAAGAAGGGTGACAGGGTTAAAGCTGATCGTGCACTTATGTAATAAAGTCTGTTTCGGTATAAAAGTCGATATATTGGAATTGGTTTATTTTTATATTTATCATCTGTCTTTGGATAAATCCTAATTAAACTTTGTTGCCCAACCATAATTCAATTCTGCCAACAACAAAGGTAATCAAACTGATTATAGGGGAATGATATTTGTTTTTATATTTTGCATTCGAACTATCATCACTAGTTGTAAATGCGTTGCAGCATAAAGTCTAAGTCTATCTTAACGTTAATATCATACTGACCTACGTAGTATATAGGGTTCCGGAATTTATCCATTATTCTGGTTGTTATTTTGTTGATCACGTGACTAATTAACATAAGCACGCAGCCATTTTGGAAAGTGGAACAAAGACGACGCTGGGAAAACAACTCGTACACTATCAATATGTCGGAAAAGACAGCAACGAAGCCCGTTACACCTGCAAAGAAAGAGCCAACTGAGAACAAAACTCCAACACCGGTAAAACCTAAACCACAACAGGATGGGAATAAACATCATGACCAACAGAACAGAAATCGTGGTGGAGGTGTCGGTGGTGGTGGCGGTGATCGAGGTGGCCATGGAGGACCACGGCGTGGCGGTGGCGGCGGAGGAGGTCGCGGACGATTTAACAATAATCGTAACTATTCCCAGGGCGGAGGAGGCGGAGAACGCCATTCTCATGCAGGACACAAAAATCAGCCGGAGGTAGATTCCAACGATGATCCGTCTGGACCAAAAGAAGATTTAAAATTCACGGGAAGATGCCGTCTCTTTGTTGGAAATTTGACGCCAGATGTAACTGAAGAAGAGTTCAAGGGAATGTTCACAAAATTTGGCGAAATATCAGAACTCTTTGTTAATGGAGCAAAGGGGTTTGGATTCATCCGGATGGTACGAATCTTGTTTATCTTTGAGTTAAGGATGTAAAGTATTGGACAGGTCGAAGAAAATTTGCTTATCATTCCTTTTGCTTCAAATATAAAATTCTCATTGTAGTTAGCATTCATTTTAGATTGATCGGGATGATGTCTGTAATTAATTATCTTGTACTTAACTATGTATATATATTTATCTGGTTAAGAAATTTTATGTATTGATTGTGCTTAAATTTAAACTTGGCCAATGAAAGTTTTTTCATTGCTCATGCTAGCTGAATGTGCAGTGTAGCAAAGTCAGGGTCCAGAATAGTGCTTCTAGCTTTGCATAAAGTAAAAGACTTCTTGAAGAATGTTGTAACTGAAATTAGAAGTAAATCTTTGACATAAATACATGTATGTTACATGTTAAGACACTGTTTCATGCTCCAAATTCTCTATTCTTCCAATACACTTGTTTTTTGGGGTGCATTAATCAGATCTACTGATACTCTTGTTATTTAAATTATTATTGGGTAAAAAGCCTTGATGCTGATATTTGATCTAGCTGAATAAACTGGTGATAGGTAAAAGATTAACTTTTCTCATGCCAATGGAAAGATCCAATGGCTTAAAACTATTTTGAGAAGATCACACTTTTTTTAGTGGAGGCAAACCTGCCTTTTTGATAGCCTAGTTATATTCTAATTGTGGAAGAAAGCCAGCAGGAATATGTATATTTGAAATCAGATTCTAAAAAAAATTGCTCTGTTATTAGGACTATAGACACAATGCAGAAGCAGCAAAGGCAGCCCTAGATGGAACACAGAGGAAAGGACGTAGTCTCAGAGTTCGATTTGCAAATCATGGAGCTGCAATCCGAGTTAAGAACCTATCTCCATTTGTATCCAATGAGCTTTTGCACCAGTCCTTCTCACAGTTTGGTGACATTGAAAGAGCCATTGTTTGTGTGGATGATAGAGGAAGGTCATCAGGAGAAGGAATAATAGAGTTCGCTAGAAAACCAGGTGCCAGTCAAGCCATGAAGAGAATCAATGAAGGAGTTTTCCTCATGTCAGCGTAAGAATTTGATTTTATGTTTTATATCATCTCTTGCCATAGTTGCAAGGATTGATTGGTTCCCTTTTTACATATATTATGTGTTAACAAATGCAGATATCAATCACAACAAGCTTGGGGTAAGTTGTGGGCTCTTCATTGGTATGTTGACCAGTTTTGCCCCTAGGTGAAGCCCACACAAGATCAGGCAAAACTGGTTGACATACCAATGAACATCCCACAATTTACCCCAAGCTTGTGGGATTGATATGTCTTTGTTTTGCTCTTCTTCCTCAATCTTCATGCATCTGTAACAGAAGTCATTTTTCCATCTCAATGCCTCTAAGAATGAACCCGGGAGGCGTATCACGCTCAACCAATCGAGCTAAAGAGAAGTTCTCTCTGCCGAGTGGTATATTGCGGCTAGTATTTTACCAGGGTTACATACTCCCTCTCCAGAAAATAACTAGTCCTCGAGTTTCCAGGGTTCACAGCGGTACTTGTGAAAGTAATGCTGGTGGTACTCAAGTTTCCAGGGGTTACAGCTACGCCGGTGGGGCATGGCTAAGTACTATTCCCGGGTCCCTCCATGGGCGCCAATGTAACAGAAGTCATTTTTCCATCTCAATGCCTCTACTAGGAATCGACAGTGATGATCATCCTCAACCAATCGAGCTAAAGAGAAGTTCTCTCTAGCCGAGTGGTATATTGCGGCTAGTATTTTACCAGGGTTACATACTCCCTCTCCAAATGGAAGTGTAACAACTTTGATAAATAAGTTTGTCACAGGTTGAAATTAATGATATGATCTGAATATTATGCTGTGAACATTCTTGACTGATGGTTACTATATAAGGTATTCCTGCTTGTATTTCCAAAATTGGTGCTTGATAATTTAACTCGGGTAACTTCAATACCTCTGATTTTGTTCTGGTTTGTAGTTACCCAAGACCAGTTTTTGTGGAGCCCTTGGAGCAAAAGGATGAAGAAGATGGTCTGCCAGAGAAATTCTTGCCTAGAAATGAACATTGCAGAAAAGACAGAGAAAAGGAGCCTAGATTTGCTCCACCAGGTTCTTTTGAATACAGATTTGCACAGCGATGGAAGGAATTAGATGAGCTGGAGAAACAGCAACATGAGAGAGTAAAGCAAGAAATGGAAGATGCACGAATCAAACTGGAAGCAGAGATGGAGGGTGCCATGTACGAGTTCCAAGCTGAACAAATCAGAGCAGGTGTGTATAGCATTTTTGATTCAAGAAATACAAGACTCATTTTATTAATGGTGAAAATATGAGATAGTTGGTCTGTAATATTGTATTCCCTAGGACATTTGCATTTGAGTAATGCAGTGATGCATAATCATCATTTATATCCTGTAGTGCTGGCAAAACCAGAATTTTTGCCAGATATTTATAAACTTAACTTACTGTACCACAACCCATAACATTCCACTTCCATACACAAACACATCCCTATGTATAATCTTGCAAGCATGCTATTTGTATAGAACTATACATCACTATAACACTATAGATACAGAGGTAAACTGGATATCCACTGTAAATAAATGCACTTAAACATACAAGTGAAAAAAATTACCTGAAAAGATGAAAAAAAACTTGAGTGTTAATTCCATATTGAAGTATTAAGTTAAGCTACAAAAGAGAAAAAATAGCTTAAATGTTTTTCCTTCAGCATATGTTGAATTAAAATCATATTTGATTTGTAGCATCACTTGTTCATATAAGGACTATCACATGTATGGAATTGAAAATTGAACATGAAATTATACCTGTACTTGTACTTTTTGTTTTAATTGTTATATATTTATAGGAATACATCCAGGTATGAAGCACTGCAAAATGTTAAAAGGTGTTGAGTTGTGTTAATGATATAAATCAAGGGATATATATTCATTATTCTTTTGTCTTAAATACTCTTCTGGAAATTTCATTTGAACACCTACATTAACCATTTTTTGGTGTCATTGCAGATCTGTTAAGACAACAGGAAGAACTTCAAAGAATTGAGGAAATGAGACAAGAACAGATGAGGCGTAGACAAGAAATGGACATGCGGTAGGTTTCAAGGATATTAGTGGTAGAACCATATTTCGTGTAGGGTACATGTTTATAACAGAATTGAAAAAAATCTAATTAAGTTTCAGCAATAAGAGAGAAAGTTTTGTTTGTCTTCCCTCAAATATGATGCTGTCAGATAGGATGACATACTCTCTTTTTCATTCTATGTTAATATTTCTAATTACATTTGAAAATATCTTGCTTCATCTAGCAAACAAAGTATCCATTATTGATAAACTTTCCCCCTCTTTACAACTGACAGGATTTGGTGTGTATTGCTTTTATAACATTATCAATTCACCAATAACTGATATGAAAATATGAATAAAACACATTGTAATTACTTGTAGGCCTCTCTACATCATAGTTCCCCGATATCATTTTACCACTTCTAAAACAATCTTTGTTTGGCATTATGTTTGTATCTTCTATGTTGAATTACATTTTTGTGTTAAATTAAATGGTTAATCTGGTATGAAATTGTTGTTTCACTCAAGTTCATTTGTATCAGATATACTGGTACTCTTTAAGGTTCCTATTGCTGAATTAATAGATGCTAGCAATGGTTGAAATATAGATAACATAATTCTGATGGCCAGGTTCCATCTCTTCTATAAGCATGGATCATTTGCAATATCTGATTTGTTGGTTTTGATATCTTATAATTGGTGTTAAAGAAATGCCAATTATTTCAGTCGACAAGATGATAATAGGATGGTAAGAGAAGAAGAAGAGAGACGCAGAGAGATGATAATGAGGGGAGAAGGAAGTGGTATGAGAGGAGGAAGAGGACCAATGGACAGAAGCGGTCAGATGGAACAGGTAACACTGAACTTGTTAACAGATCATTATGTAGAATTGATGTTACATGTTTGTTAATTGACAATAACTGGTAGTAAACCCATCTGTATATATTTTAAAAATAAACCTGTCCAATCAAATTCTGATCCATTGCTGTTTCATTGTCTTGCAATAAGCCCAAACCTTGAATAAGAAGTAATGTGTAGGTCATCTAACTGTATGATAAGTATGGTAAGCAGTTATGTCATATACACAATAATACTTTCACAGATTTGTAGAGACACTGAATCAACAATCATAATAAATGGGTTCTCTTGAATCCATTGAGTTTCATATTGTGCCAGTTGTTACAGAATAGAAATATATAGGGAGCAGAATCACATCTATTTGTTTATTTCAAAATACAGATCACTATATTCAACACTTAGACAAGACTCAAAATAAATATTGGCCTTCATTTGTATGTAGAAGTTGACGTGATAAACTATACTTTCAACACAGTTCATGAATTTGATTCTCTGAATTTACTTGTGAAAAGGAGAACATCAAAAATTTTCACACTGATATTCCTGTGGAATGATGCAGGTGCATTGTCTACAAAAGTAAGCAATGTTTATGATTACCTCAAGTAAGTGTTGTAATTCAAGTAAATAAGCTGCAAGTTAGGTCCTGTGAAATCTAGTAAAAACTTCTGGAAGTTAGTAATGACGGTCTATGTGAACCATGTAAAATTTTGAGGAAATTTTGGTCCAAAAGTGAAGCTCTGTCAGCTCCTATGTGTGTATGTATATAATTGATAAATAGCAGATGGCCTGGGTGCTGTTATGTAGCTGTGTAATAAACCATTAGTGGTTTGAAAATACACATTGAATGTCCTGTACTCCATACTGGATATGTGTGGTAAATAGTTGAGGCAGAATTAAGGAATACAATCAAACTGAATCAGCATTACTACATCATTATTTTGTCGGTTGATTGTTGCACATTAACTTCGAATACATAATGTAACACCTGGCTTTACTTTTGATGGGAGTATTGACATGGCAAGACCATTTTATTGCATGAAATAGGTAGCTTTATTGAATAATTTCGCAAATATTGAATCAGGAGTACTTGACTGTTAATTGATAGTGTTTTCTAAGAATGATTGTGACATGTTATAAACGATGTTGTATAAAAGATATGCATGTGAATAGCACTGAAATACAAATTTAGGGTTGGATTCAGTGGAGCTAAATAATGAGGTAAACTTTCAACTTGGTTCCTGATTTTGCTTTAATATAGCTATCAAATCTTTATTCTAGACTATGGACATAGTGTATATGTCCATTTTAACTTCAAGATTTGTGATAAAGTATTGTGTATTCTTTCAGCTAATTAAGTAACATACATTATGTTCGCTTTCATCAACATCCAGAAATGATTTGACACAAATATTTTTGTTGTTACATTTTTACAATACTACATCAGCAGAATTCTAATTGGAGCACAAACCTCCTGCCACTGTTGTTAGCTAAGATGTAACTGATTTGTTACAGCCGGGAATGAGAGGCGATGGAATGCGTGGAGACGGAATGCGTGGCGATGGGATGCGTGGAGAAGGCATGCGTGGTGAAGGAATGCGAGGTGAAGGAATGCGCGGCGATGGGATGCGAGGAGAAGGCATGCGTGGTGAAGGACAGCGGGGTCGTTCTGGAGGGCCTCCACCTGTACCACCACCTCCAGCCCCTCCTGCTGCCATGGGCATTGAAAATGTAAGTGTTGCTAACTGCATAGTATACATATGTGCCATAGGATATCTCTCGGGGAAATTGGTGCAAAAGTTGAAATGCAGCACTCACCATAGCCACATTTAAAATAACCTGCCATGGTATACCTTACTCACAAGTCATATCATAGTAAAATAAGAAGAAAGTTTGGTACCTCTGGGTTGACATAATTTTGCATATTAGAATCGTCTGATTGAGTTTTGGCTTTCTCACAATGTCTTTGATATAACTAGTGATTTGTGTAGCTACAATTGCTAGATTTAGAATTTGAGTACATGAGATAGGAGTTTTCATTTATACTTTCTATGATACTACTGAGTCCCTGAGTCATCAAACTTAATATACAGATACATTTTTAGTGATCTTACTATATTGAATTTTAATTTGAATACCTGCTGAAAATTGATGAACCAAGATCAATTTTTCAGTATACATATTCCAAGTTTTGTTGGTAATATATCTTAGATTATTCTCTGAATATTTATTTCACTTTATTTGTTATCACAATCTGCTCTTTTTACAGCAGAAATATTTTCCTTTCAATAACAAAATGCAAAATATTTTGAATTGTGGTGAATGATATCTTATGCAGAGACAACAGAATGAGGGATCAATGGGAAGTGGCTTTGGAGGAGGATCTGGTGGGAACATGGGCAGTGGAGGTATGGGTGGCAGCCAGGGGTCAATGCAAGGTCAAAGCCAAGGAATGGGAGGTCAAGGCCAGGGAATGGTATGTATCACTGAAAATTTGTTTATACTGGTTCTTTGTTATCTTAGATTGAAAAACATACACACTTACTTTTCATCACACCAGTTGTTGTGTCTTTCTTCAGATGGAAGCACTGAAATCAATTCATTTGATATATCGCCAAGGTTATTAAATTATTTGGGATGTTTATTATATGAAGCAGGTTGAATTCATGGACCTTTGTCCTACAAGTATGATTTACAATTATGTAAAGGTTTTGTGTGAAGGAAACAAACTATGAAAGTATTTTAGTAAAACAAACACAATGAATATTGTGAATGTGTGTCCCGAATGGCTGTTCTTAAGCAGCAGGGTGCAATCTTCACCAATATTATATTATGTATTTCCACTGAGTATTCAGCTTTATTTGGTTGTTGTGTCCCTTGCATCATAAACTATAGAAATAAAAACTGTTACAAAGAGACCTGTACTTCATTACTGTTAGACACTTTGAAAGAGAAGGAAAAAAAGCATGTTTCATCACTGTTTACAAAAAATCTGCAGAGAAAAATGTTTTTTCTCAACTCCTGATGATAAGTTGTATGTGAAAATTAACATGTATGTGGAATCATATATTCAGGTTCTAAATTTGTGATACTCTCTCCAGTTTGACAGATTGAACTGTCAGAAGTCTGCAGTCTGTGATCCCTCTTTTTGAACTCATCCATCAGTTCATACATTATTTGTATGTAGACCATTGGGATGTTTTATTTAAACAATGTGCCTCATAGACTACTATATATGAGTTGCAGTGCTGGGGTCTACCTATATTTGATATTCCCTGCAAAGTTGGCTAAAAGTTCCTTTTTTGGATGGAATTAATGCTTATTTGAATTGGTGTTGGGCTCTACTATGTAAACAAATTTTAATGTATTGTTACTAAAGATGTGCTGCACTTTTACTTGTTATTAGTAAAACTGAATATAGACTTGATGTTGAGGCTTTGACATTTTCTCTGAGAGGTATTACAGTCCCATTTGAAGGATGCTTCTAAGGTATATTGTCTTAAAACAAAATTTTCCTATATCACTTTCACGATAGTGGTACTGGTTCTTACAAGGTCTGGTGAATTAGTGGTATGCTAAACAAAGGAAATCGGAAATTGAAATAAGTGTAGAAGGACTTGGTTATGAATCCCATCACTTTGTAATGATGATCCAGGCAGAGGATTTGCAAGTGGTGGCTTGGTTAAGGGCATTTTTCTTTTTTTCGGAAAAAAACATGGCATTAATTCCTGAAATATTGATTATGTATGGAGCTATGGATCATTATATTTGATATTTCAATACTAAGATGCACATATTACTTTTGTATACTTTCCTATCTCAAAGTTGATTTGTGGAGTTGAAACATAAAATTAAAAATGTGTATTCAATGATTGTATCATTATTTTGGAGTGGTTCCTTAAATACAGTGTTCAGTAGAAGCCACTAAGGAATAGATGAACTGTAATCATTAATCATATAACAACATTTTTTACTAAAGCTGATAGAGGTTTCCAGAATTTTTTCTGAAGGAATGTTTTTTACAGGGTTTGCATACTATCTTTGAAGTGTTTAACTCTTGTTAAGTTGGGAATAGTCCAAACAGTTCCTGCATTTTCATTGTTTTGCATTCTTCCTTTTGATGTTATTATGATCCTCATAGATGATGTTAGGTGTTTGAGATGCTAATAAGATTATGAAATTTTGATACTAATGCGTAAGAATAGCTGTACAGAGCTAAAGTGAGATTGTTGTAAAACACTGTGTCAAATAAAGGGTGTTGTATCTTCCAACTTGTTCAACATTGGGTAAGTGTGCAAGTTACCTTTGGGCTTATGACAGTTTTACAACTGTTAAGCAGTAGTACATGGAGGAAGCACAGTAGGTGAAGCAAATCTACCTGTAAGCTTAGCCCTTGTTACACTGATGGAATCTGTATTGGCCTGTCTATTTCCTTTTATGTCTTTATCACTGGTCTACAATGTGATGATTCACGTTTGCTTTGTGGGATGTTGAAGGAAGAAAACTGAAAGCAAGTTGGTATGTTATCACTCTGTGCTGTTTAAATTGATCAGGTTGGTTGGAAATAGGCAAAAGAAGACAGTCTATAAAAAAATGTGATAAGAAAACCTGTCTTGTTAAATGTTATTTTTAAAACTTCAGGAAAGGATTCAACTTTCTCTAAGTAAGTGCTTTATATATCATAGTTTGTTACATTAATGCATTAGAGGTGTTGAAATTCTGGCAGAAGAGTTGTACTTGGCATTCATAGATATTTCATTGGCAGCGGAGTCCATCCCATGTCATCACTTGTGTACAATTATCAAGATGCTAACTATAAGAATGCATTTATCTTGTTTATGACACTTAATGCACTGCCATTATGAAAAGAAAAAAAAGGAGATTCAAATCAATTGAAGCTACCATTGATGAAACCTCATGATTACAACCCAGTCCTAAAATCAACAGCATTCTTATAGCCCTGAATGATGGATGCCTTTTTCTCTTTCATAGTTACATACATAATGACACATCACCATTGTATCACAGATATCTATGAAGTGTGATGATTTAACCCTTGAAAAAGTAATATCTAGGTGCATTGTTTTGAAAATAAGGAAAATCATGAGCAATAGTTAAATCTAATATGGAAATGGGATGGGGATGGATAATGATGTTAAGAAGATATACCTGAAATGGGTATCAAAATGTGTGAGAAGTGCCTGAAACAAGCAAGCTGAACCTTTGCTGTTCTTCGAATATTATTGTGCCAGCTTGCTCCATATCTTGGATGTCTGTATTATGTTTTTCACATATGTTCATATGTGTGTGTATATATATATAGATGACAGATGATGAAACATGCTTTTTTTACAAATAATGGATAACATTTATATTTTGAAATTGTTCCTGTATAAAAAAAAAAAGAAGGAAAAACAGAAGTAAAATTATTTTGATAATTGAAAAAAAATATCGATCACATAACATGTATTTTTTCTAGATGATGAATATGGTTTAGAATTACAAACAGTGATGAATGATGGATCTTGTACAGTCTCCTCAATAAATATATTATGACGTTAATGACAGTGATGTCATTATTACTTTATATGGTGTTGTTGGGTTCTCATCAGAAGCCAGTTCTGGTGATTGTTAATAAATATTTGATTTATATATGTTTTAATCTGACAAACATTGAGGTAAAATGGGTTTGCCTGTGAGGTAGATATGTAGGAAACAATCATCGTCATTTATCTGGGTCATTTCTTTATCTTCAGTTCAGATTTCTTGATTAAATTATATACTGTATTACAATTTTGATAATAAGTAGTTTTGCAAAATCTGACTCTTGCCAAAAAAGGCTGATTTCTGTCAACTTTTGAGTTTGTTAAGTGTGGAAAATAAACAGGAATAACAAGTCCATTTGAAAATTAACCACATCTTGAAAAGGTAAAAGTGTGAGATCCTTTGATGGTTCTAATAATTTCAAATAAATAAACTGCTACAAACACCATCAAAAACCAGTAATGTCATCTAGTCTGCGAAATATTTCATATACCAATCATCAGCAAATGGTTCCATATGACCTTTTTCACAATGTCATCATGGCACATTTCTATTGAACATGTTTTGTGAAAGCTGCTTATAGATTACAGGTTTAAATGGTCTCCTATGCTTTGTGCTAGTTTTATACATCATGGATTTGAATATAATGCATGAATGTCGAGTATCAATTTGTTTAGAATTTTGACAAAACTCGTGTCTTGAAAGAAATATTAGGTCTAAGTTGTACAAATGTCATATTCTATATTTACATGGAAAGAGAGAAGCATTTGTTTCATTTTTAATAATAATTTGAGGTTAATTATGTATATCAATGTTGGACTGCTGTTAAAGGAAATATGACTGTTGTGGACAAAGTACCCTAGTCCATACTAGTGCAATATGATATGTTGCACATACACAATATTATACCATCCTTATTTGCATGTTGGGGAAAACAGAAAGTTTGATAAAATATTTAAACTACTGATGCAAGGGACAAAAAAAGTTTTGATAAAATATGGTAATTACATGTACTCCTGATGCAAGGGACACAATTAACATTGTATCTTTGATTGTCCTTGATGACGAAGCAGCAGAGATATCTGCTTGCATGAGATGTGAACCAATAACCTTGTACATTGTACATACATATGTGTACATTGACATTACTTTTCGTGTTTTAGTTTTCTTTCAGGATGAATTAAAAAATATGAAACCACTGTTAAACTTGTAGTTGATGGAAAGGTGCTACAATGTTTTAATGTTAAAGCTGTGTGGTTTTAAAGCTGTTGGGTAGGTATTTGATGATGGATGTCTTTGGCTGCTACTTAAAATTTTAAAGCATCATATTATTCAGTAATGATTTTGATCTGAATTTCATGGAATTCTATTGTCATGTGACAAGGGGATTGGACAGCTGACAAAACTCATGCAAGTCCTCTCCTTAGTAATGGTATTTGATTATCTTGTGTCTGTATAAATAACCTGTCCAGTTCTGCACCTTCATTTGCATTTACTGGAATGATAATATTGTATAGATTGAACATGCTGAACACCTAACACATGTCAGATTGTCTCCATTACTACTCTATAAATTGTGTACAAGAATTGATGCAGAAAGACTGTTTGAACAAATGGAAAAAACATACTGTATATCCTTCACTATGTGTAGTCTGGATTTTCGAGAAGAAAGAATTTTTGACTACCTGTATTCAGAGGATTTACTTCTTTACAGTAGTGTTAATTATTGAATTTATGTGCCATTTATACTGCAGGTGCTGAAACTTTGTTGAGATAACAAAGTTTAGTATGGGGAAAAGTAATGGTAGTATTTCTGGAAATATCCTACATTTTGAACAGACATACCACTTTTTACTGTTACTACACTTGGAATTAGGTCATGATCAATGTTTACCTCCGGAGTAGACATTGTGAATAATTTTCACCTTCCATATACTTGTCGGTGATGTTTATCTGAGATATTTTGAAGCGTACTCTCTACAGGAATATTTATAATTAAACAAGGTCAAGGACACCGTTATTGATTCAACAGGAAGGCTCTCTTAATTGAATGAAGTCTCCAAGAACTTGAAAACTTCATAAAATGACTGTAAAAAAATCAGAATGTTTCTATCAGTTTTGGTATCAAAAACTGTATAGGTTGTAAAGTCAATATATCACACTTGGATTTTGTTGTCATTTCCTAGTGTCTTTCAGTAGTTGTTATTTTTAGTAACCTGGGTGGGCATAATGGCATTGGTCACCTCTTGACAAACAATGGTAATTCACATTGTTTTGGCACATGAACTATTTCATTGTAGCAACTGCATTCACTATGAGATATTCATGAAAGTGGCACATACAGTTATGTTTACATTTGTGGTCATGTTTGTGTAAACATGAGGATGTGGTTTGTTGATTGGAAAATCGATAAGTGGAAAAAGGGAAGTCTTGTCATTTAGATAATGCTTGCTTGGTGATAATTTTTACAGAAAACAAGTATAATAGTGTTGATATAAGAATTCTAGAATTTTAAAGATGCTGCTTGAGAAAAAGTCCATGGAATCATAGATTAGATTATTTGTCTTTAGATTGAGATACCATGTGCAAGCATAATATGATATAGAGCAATACAATTTTGTTTTTGGCTGAGGTAAGCATTTACCCGTGTGTGCTGAATGTTTGGAGAGATTCCCAGTACTAGAAATGAGATATAAAAGTATGCTTGGAAATCTTCCAAGCAGAACTTACAATTGCAAATGATGAATTTGAAACTGGTATGCATGTAAACATTCTGTTGTCTGTGAAAAATATAGAGAAGAAAATCATTACCCTTTGAAGATTGTGCTGAAGACATACAAGTGAATAGCACCATTTAACCCAAATTTGGATAAGATACAATAGAGCTAAACAATGAGTTAGACACCATCATACAGCTGTTTTATGTTCTAGGGCTTGTCAGTGATTCTAAGAGCCTAAATGTTCAACCTAGGATGTAAATGAGGAGAAACTCTAGATGGGGAGGTGCACTAGTCCCATGATTGAGGAAGTTTTATAGTTTTGACATATCTGATAATGTATCTGTTTTATTCAGAATTTAATTGTACTTTGCTTTTGCCTGTTGCAAAAAATCTATGAACTGGTCATTGTTAACAAATGTTGGTATTCAATACTGGAAGGAAAGCTTGCAAGTTGTGTGAAGGAGAAGCCATATTGACATGTGTGCTTGACTCCTGATGCCTTTAATGTAAGAAAGAAATATATTAAGAATAGAGGTCAATGCTTGCGTACATCAACAGCAAAGAATTGTAAGAGTAAATACTGCTGTTTTCATGAAATACTTGAATGGAAATTAAAAAGAAATGCTGATGCCTGCAGTATGATGTCATATTTCAGGTGACTGGATTTTGTTGACAATATTATTGATATTGTCTTTACTTGAATGAAAATAATGGATAATTTGTACTTTATTTTGAAAACCTATCAAAGTATGGAATACTCTCTGGAAGGTACATTAAGGATACATCTAGAACTAATTAAATTAAATTTAGTTAAAATGTGTAAAAATAGTGATTTGTATTTTCAAACTGTAGACTTGGTTAAGATCCGTAGTGTTGGGGAATCAATACTGTTCTGTTATTTTCTGCTGGAAATAATAGAATCAGTTTTGAATTAAATCTGATGTATTGCCGATTGAGGCAAAATATGGGAAGAAACAGTAGAATGTGTAAAATTTGATATTGGAGGTGGGAGGGGGGATATTTGTAATGGTCATTTGAGGAAACGGGGTAAAAGATATGTTGTTTGACACATAAAACAGTCTAAAGACGTTGATAAATCACTGTTTTACTAGTATTGACTTGTACTGATTTTGTGTCCGTCTATAAGTAATTGATGGGTTATACTTATACATGTGTGCTGTTATACTCATTATTGGTGTACACATTCTGTACATAAATATATATGGAATATATGGTTATTTTCATTGCATGGTTATTTTGAGACACAAGGTAATTTTAATATCAATATGTTATATAATTGCTATGATTTTAACCCTACTTTTGATTTGAAAGCCATCAGACAAGTCATCATTTACCAACCTGGAGCATCTCCCTCTGCTCTTTTGAGCCTTTTGTAGAGGTAAGATTCTTAGTTGAAAACCAATATTTCATGTTTTCTAATGAACTATTTCTTCTTCCTTTTTTTTCTTGTGCCCGTGATGGATTTATCCTGTGAAAATGATGTCCTCTACAACCATTTGTAAATCAATCCAAAAATTGATTTAAAATTGGTCAACTTTACCTTTGACCATGAATATTATACCGGCCTGAATTGTGATGGACCTATGCATTCATTTCTGAATGTTAACCCTGATATAATTACCATAAAAAACTCAACAACAGCGCCAATCAAGATTTGATCAACAAGGTGGTAACTACGGAAATGGAAACTTTGGGGGCCGTGGGGGTATGGGAGGCCAGGGCGGGGGTATGTCTGGAGGAAATGGAGGTGGTGGTATGCAGGGGGGTGGCAACATGTACGGAGGTGGGGGTATGAGTGGAAATATGGGAGGTGGACGTGGTGGTATGAATGAACGCAGGCGCCAAGAGGCTGGAGGACCCCGTGACGACTATGGAGATATGAAGAGAATGCGCCGGTATTAGTTCTTGAATTAATAGACTCTGCAGGCTTGCTGAGGGATATAAATTGCTTTAGAGAAAATATAGACATGTCAATAAAGAAGTTTAAACTTCTTATAAAACAGCAATCATGATCAGCCAGTGTCAGTAGCAGTTAAATAGCTTGACATTATGTGTTGGAAGAGTACATTGAAAAAAACTTTGAAAAGTGGAAGAGAAAGACTGGAAAAAATTACAGCCAGTTGTTTCTTTTTTATGCATTGATTGCAGTCAAAGATAATACAGATATGTGTGGAAGTGACATGAACATTGAATTATCACTTTAGATATCGTAAGATATTGTCTCTGTGTATGTCGATTGAATTGAATTCATCATTTGATATCATTCATTGTAATATATCCATCTTTATTTTGTGTTGTGTCCTTCATCATTTTAACTCTATGTTTCATTTTATACTTATTGGACAAGGATCCATAATCATGTTGTTACAACATTGAAAAGAAATAGCATTCATTATGATAATGGTCTCTCCTGATGTCCTATTCATGTCAATTCATTAGAAAGACGTAATCCATAATTCTAGATTGTCATACCCAAACAACCATTATTTTACTATTTGAAGATGTATCCATTGGTAATGTAAAAAAAAAAATGTCAAAAGAAATAAAATATTGTACCTATAAACTTACTGCTGTATATTATATTATAATGGCCGACTGGAGATTATCAGACTGACCCAGTCAAAAATTTGGACAGGGCATGTTATGGTGTAGCGTCCGTCTGTCCATCAGTCATCAGCTGTTTTAGCCTAGATATCTACTGTCTCAGATTTTAAGCAGAGTCCTGGTATACTTAATAAAAAGTTTTGTTTTCATGATGGCTTTTCAACTCAATTCAGCATTTTCATATTCTTTGGCATAGTATATTTTTGTATCTATTTTTCTGCCATCGTTGTATAACTACGACATGAAAAGAATTTAGTTTTTGCTAAAGACGTTCCATTTGATAGCTTTGTTTTGTTCATCTTATCAACTTTGTCCATATCTCTCTCACTCTCATGTTTTCTGCTGATCTTTGAAATTTTGCAGGATAATTATTGTGACACTGGGTTGTATTTTGCTAAAATGGTATTTTGTGGTATAAGGTGTTTTTTTTATGTTTTTTCATTAACAGTCATTAATTTTGTCCTGGGGAGCTCTCAGTTTTTAAGGGGTTTCTTTAAACTTTTGTAGGTTTTTCCATAATGGCTTGAAGCTCTGAATTTGATACTTTTATGAATTAAGATACAAAACAAGGTAATATATACATCTTTAATATCATTAAAGAAATTTTCCACCTTGCTTATATCTGCGAGTAAAAATCTCAATTCACATCAAGTACGGCAGTCAAACGGAAGGTGTTGAATCTGTCTGAACAACTGTAGCTTGTGTGCAGTAGAAAGGGACATTCAATTTTGTATTCTTCCACTTTCCAGAATGAATTTTAGTCTGGTAACTAGAATTGCTGATGGAATCATAATCATACGATCAGAAAAAGTATTTACATGTGGCTGAATTACATTAATTAAAGGTCTGCTGCTGAAGTATGTAAATGATACAAAAGTACATGTATTTTGGTATTCTGTGCCCTGCAGTTACTGGCAAACAATGTCAATATGTAGTTATTGTGAAAGTAGGACTATGAAAGAAACCGTGACCTCTATCTATATGTTATAAACTTTAACATGGCTCATACAGAAAGGAAAAGTCCTAAATATCAGCACTTTCTTGGAAATGCCTTGGAATTCTGTGCCAGTTTGAAAAATTGGAATATTTCTGTCCCTGAAATGTTTTGGAAATGTTCTTGAACTTCATATTGGAAAGTCCAGGGGGAAAGTCCTCAAAATCATATTAGGTGTCGGAAGTCTATACATACAAACAATATTTGAAATCTGCAAGTATTTTGAAATATTTGACATAATTATTAATGGGAATCTTGAAATTTTGGGAAATGCCTATCATCTAGACATGTTCACCCAATAAATTGTATGGGGTAAGCAGGTTCTTCACATCTCCACTTTTTCAATCACTTTGTAGATGTCTCTTACGGTACTGTTAATTTGAGTGAGAGAATTTCTGAAAAATACTTTTTCTTTCTTTCAGAATATTTTATTGTCATGGTGGTATTGACAGTAGGAATTGGGCAACAGGCAGAGCCTATGAAAGCCCTCTCCTTACAGTGCATAAACAAGTATACAGACACATCAATCAAAATTAGAGATAACAGATAATAATAATATTAGGAATAAGAATGTAGAAGATAGATTAAAATGGATGATTATATAACCGAAATGCAAAATAGGCATCACCATCGTTTGTATTATTGAGTTCCAGAACAGTAACATAAACTAAAAGATACAAATTAGGTATCACAAGATATTACAAGACTGGGTCAAAAATACTATTTATAAAACAAAACAAAAAAATATGGGACCTTGTCAAAAAAAAGCTGTCGTGTATATAAATCTAAATATTTATGTGCAGAAATGAAGTGCTTTTACAACCTTTACACTTGCTGTTGCACAAAATTAAAGATTCCCACATCAAATGTAGTGACAAAACAATTAGCATCCCCAGTTTAAATGTGTCCTTAACAACATGCTAATTTTGTGAATACAAACCGAAGTAAAGCAACTGTAGAGAACTTTAAAAGGATTTAATTTGTCTTTCTGAAAAGTCATTGTGATGTCTTAGTGATACTAAACGTTTGTCTTAATACTCTTTTTCAATGTCATTGTCAACGACAGGCAACAAAACTTGCCTGAAGGTGTAAACCTATTTTAATTTCCTATCACTGATGTATGAAGCAAACTGAACAATGGTAGATAGAGATGCACACTTTATTCTACCTCCACAGTCTCATGGATTGATTGGCGTCGTCTTCCATCTGTTTATGAAACCTTTTGTTGCATGTACATATGTATCGTGGACGAACAACATCCAAATGATGCCTTCGATTCCAATTCTAAAAAAAAAAACGAAAAATTGATAGTAGGCTGTATTTGTACTCTCGGATTAGTTAAGTTATTTATATAATATAGATCTTGGGTTCATACATCGTCAAGTATATTCCTGAGCTGATTGCCACAAGTTACAAATGGTGCATAGATATTAATTATACACCTGTTTAATGTTACCTCATTAACAACTTGTAATGTTTTAATCTTTATACAAAATTACATTTGATACCATTTCAATAGTTTTGATGACCTTGTTTTGCGTGGCTACTTTATGCCATCGAATAATATAAGTTGAAGCTCCTCAGAAACCATTTATGGAACATTTCATTATTCAAAGTTGGGATGGATGGTATGATACCTTAAAGGATATGTATAAGACGCAAGAAAAACTTTGATGTCAAAGAAAGAAAATAATCCATCTGCTGTTTATATTTCTTGAATACTGGTACAATATCGAGAAGAATGATCTACGGAATGGATTTTTTTTAGTCACTTCAATATTTGGAGTGCAGCCATTTTACAGGTGTTTTAGATGTAGTTTTCATGAAATTCATCATACATTTGACCATTTTATGCTTTGGACCAAGATAATTAATGGTCTGATGACTGAATAATTTGGATTCCTGTGCATTTGTGGGAAAAAACTTGAAGTTGATGTCCAAACCTTCCCAGATCCACAGAAGATAAGGTTTTAGTGACTTTGTAGGCCAACTGATAAATGAACATATTTGAGATGACTAAATTTTGAAGTCACTCATGTCATATATCGTAAGTATACATCCTCAGTAAAGGAATGGTAAGTATTTATGTTTAGATGCATACTTCTTTAAAGAATGAGATAACCAGGGATATCCAATATAATTTTGAGAAATGATCACTGTCATAATTCTTCGTGATTGATGAGGGATATATATATGGTGATGAATCCTTAACACACGCTGTTGTTTCATTTTCTCATCATTTTGGGGTTTGGGGAAGCAATCTGCTTTCAGCTGTTAATAAGGAAAAACCACCGCATCTGTGTTAAAATATACAGCAGCATATGTCTGAAAACTTGGAAAGTATAATAATGTTTTCTTAAAAATTTGGGATATTTGTTTTATTTTTTCATCATTTCAAGGAAATAGCAGTTTTTGGTTTGGGAAAACAGTCTGCTTTCAGCTGTAAACAGAAAAAAAACCCACTGCATTTGTATTCTATAAAGAAATTTCATAATGTGTTGTATGCTAAGAAAATGTGTTGCAAACACATCGTGCTGATCTTCAGAAGGTGATCAGAATGTAGATATTGTGCATTATGTTCCCTTCTCTAGACTATGAATCTATATTGAGGGGAAGGTTAGACTTTCATAGTCATACATAATATAGGGAGATGTTGATTGCTTTGCCCTTTGTGGGTGATTGTGTTGAACTGTTGACCTTTTAAGTTTTATTTCAGATTATTTAACCCAGCAAAGACTTCTCTGTAAACATCCAACTGTTCACTAGCTGCAGGGATATGATCTTACAAGAAACAGTTAGGAGGGAAAGATCTCCCGATACTGGCAGACTTCATAACCTTTGGTCTTAGCATTTATAGCTTTGAGTCCTCATAATGAGCAACAAAATAATGGACCCAAGAGAAGATGCATGTTATTTCATCATGGAGGATAGCAAAAAAAATGGGTGTACTTGTTTATATCTGATGTATATATATATAACCTATGAAGTTAACAGTTTCTGTAATTTGAATTGTTGATGAATGACTATGAAACATGTCTGTTTTCTAGCTTTGAAATGACTGGGGAAACTATGCCTTGTGGTTGTGAAAGGATGCTGCAGAATTTCAAACAAAACTGAAATATCATTATGTGTTTTCAACCTAAACCCTCAGATTGTATTAATTGCAGCAAAAAGACCTGAACTGTTCATTTTTAAAATGCTGAAAAAGAACTTTAAATTTCACATGATCAACCATTGTCACAAAAATTTTGGCTGTGAAATAACATGCAATCACTTTTAAATTGATGGAATTGATGCTGTGTAACGATAGTGCACTGCATATGGGAAATATCTTAGTATATTTCATTTAGAATCGGAAATGCACATGAATATTAAGTAGTGAACATAAAAATGTTGTCAAGTGACAAATTACCATAAACAAATACAAAATAATGGCACTCTTAAGTGCGTTTACCATTTTTTCCTCTTCATCATAGGTTGCAGATGTTGATTCACTTTTGCTGAAAATGATGTTTTTTTTCCGATATCTGATTGTGTCAAATCTGCATATACTGGTATATGAATTCATAAGACTAGATATATTCCTGGTGAATAGACGATTTCACTAGCTGAGTGATGAAGCTAAGTGTAAAGATGGACGAATGTTAATTATTGATATTGAATGAAATAGTGAATCATCTGTGATTAATGGGCTATTGGGATTCTGAATGTGAAGCTTTTTAACCAAATAAATTGTTCTTAAGATATATACATGTATTAAAGTGTGTTGACTATCGAGTCATAGGGATGAAGTGAAAACCTGGCATGGGATAAGGGTATGCCATGATTTATTATTGTCAATCAGAACTTGCTCATCATGGAAAGATGGAAAGAGTGGGCATTGAAAAAGACTATTTGATAGCTTATCTGGCCTGACAGTTTTACATTGTATTATCTTATTAAAAGTTAGGGGAGGGGGGAGACTCAAATCTCGACAACAATATTTCGGGGGGTGGGGGGGGTCACTTTGTGTAAAAAAAGAAAGGAAAGGCTAGAATCGCAACAACATTGGGCAAGATTTCAGGGGGAAAATCATTGTGTAGTGGTAGGTTAATTTGGGATCATTAGTTTAAATTTCTATTTACTGAAAGAATTCCTGATAAAATCAGATTCTTGTGAAGAAAATATAATGTGAAGATCATTGAATAGCACTAACTAGTAGTTTGATATATGTTGCCATACTTGCTTGTAGACAGAATTGCCCCTCCATTTCAGAAGAGTTTCTAACATTGATAACTTTTAACCCATAAAGTAATGAGCAGTAATAAAATTCTCATGGAAGCCTTGGCTTTTTCTGCATTGAAGTTACCTCTTGGAAGTATTGGAACAACTTCAACAAGCTGAAAATATTGCAGGATGTGGTATTTCTTTCTAGAATAAGAGAAGCAAGGTTTTTAAAAATATGTATATCAGTTTTTGAAATGAAGAAAATAATATGTTTATTGCAAACATTAAAAGCTTTTTTATCTCATTAAATTTGAATTTAATGCATGTAAAAAAATTAACTTCAAAATGCAGTAGGTACAAGTAGATAAATTATCTCCCTTCATCCATGTTGGTGTACAATTCCTACAAGGTGATGGGCCATTCTTGTTTCCTACCAGTATGTATGATATGTGCTATGTATCTAGAAATACAATATGACTTAAGAGGGAGAAATGACCACCTGATTGCTTGTAACTTCACTTATTGGCCGGACCTCTACAGAATATTGTTATCTTACAAGTAATCACTCTATGGAGACTAAACCTTTGACAATAGAGTCCATTGAAGGTATGTATTGTATGAATTCATGTCAAAATGTTGTTCTTGCCGCAAATGAGATTTGCATTGTACATGTAGAAGTACTGTCGTAAACTATAGTAATGTGTGAGATTTTGACATTGGGAATATAAGACAGTTTCAGTATCTGAAATGCAGGGCATATCTGAAAGATATTGTAGAATCTTTTCTTCCCTGTTTTGGGTTTCCACTTTACATTGGAATCTGGATGGATATTGTTGTATGTTTAGAGCAAGAACAAGTGTGATGTACAGTGCTATAAAGATAAAATTCATTAATATCTGCTGAAAAGAGATTCTTTATCTCTTTGCATTCCTCAGCATAAATACTTAGATCAGTTTGCTGTTGGATTTTGTCATGAATAGTCTTTGCTCAATAGAGCTGTTTGAGAGTTTACTTGAATTATATCCAAGATACTATGATTTACAAGTAAATGATATTCTTTTCTCAATTAAGCTGTTTGTGTTATCCCAACATTCTTATTCACGGTCCTCTATAGTGTAGTTATATAATGCCATCTAGTATTTGCAGCATATCACTCAATCATAAAGTATCAAATCTAAAGCAATTAAGGAAATATGTGTTGATATAGATGAACGATATGCAGTAAATGATTTCATTAGACTGATACAAGTTGTTAACTTGGCAGTGCTTTTCATGTCATGGCCACATGCCTGGTTTTATCATGTCATGAGCATTCTCATCACAGCAACATTCCTTTGAAACCAAAGAATGGTTCAAAATTTCAAAAGTGATAATTTATGTTTGCATACAGAGGAAGTGATTGTCCTGTGTATTATAAAGGGTTTACCATGGAGGTGACAATTTCCGTAAAAGTCGCACGTCTGTATGTTACCGATGAACCGTTGGGAAGTGTTGCTGGTTGCTTCATAAGTGGACTGGCTCTCTTACTTTTAATGCAATACTAAATAATTTTTCACTTTCATTATCGAAATGTGAAAGGATGAAAAAAAGACATTATGTTATACTTTTCAAATTTCGTTCGATTGTGAAAATAGATGTCAAAAAAAAAGTAAATACATTTCACTCCATTTGAGTGTGTATATATATATATGTGTACAATCTGTTGTTTGGATGGTGTATATTTCAGTTCTGAAATTAATTTTGATAAAAACAAACTTTTTAAGTAAATGTTTGTATTTATTGGATGATAACTTTTTGAGTTCTTCAGTATCATTTTTTAAAGCTATCATTGGCATTGTATATTCTCATTCATATCTCATTTGACTTTCCTATCTTTTTCATAGATGATTGCATGCTGTGGATGAGGAACACATTGGCGTTGTTAAGGTAATCACAAGTTAAATGTTTGTTTCCATGATGTTCCATATATGTTACTGGACAAGGGTAATGTGTGCAAATCCCAAACAAAAAGTCATGGTCGTACAACTGCATCGTCTTACATGTATGTTTAACTGGCAATGATTGAGCAGATGGATAGGCCCTAGAAATTTTAATTGAAAATTAAAAAAAAAATAACTAGGTATTGCAGAACCTTCATATGTTAATTATCTTGGCATTGTAGAACCTTCATAAGGTGAAAAAAAATACTGCATTCTACTACTGACACGAAATTTTTACATGCATTTTCACGTTTTCCAGACATGAGTTACATGATGACCTGAGAGCATCTGTTGTTGATGAGAGACTTGTCCATACTTGATGCCACATCTTCATTCATGTGATGGTAAGAAATAACTTGTGCATGAAATAAAAGATAGTTAATGGATTTTAAAGGGGTGAATTTGTTAAGATTTTCACAATTTCAGCCCATAAGTTATTAAGCTGAAGATGGGAAAAATAATTGTTGCTTGCCCCATGAAGGTTTGCTTGTACACTAAGTATATACAAACAGGTTCTGTCGTCTATCCATGGCATTATTGAGCATATCTCCAAAAAGCATTCAAGATAACAGAACTAACTTTCTCTACACATCAGTCAAGAAATTAAAAGTTCCAAATTTTGTTTTATTTTTCATTTCAGTCTCCAGATCAAATCCCTTTACTTGAGGATATTGATGATATTGACAAGACTTGCTGTGAACAAGTGAGTGCAAGTGTGGAGACTTGTCATATACAACATGCAAGGCAAAGAAAGAAATGAAGTTCACCAAATGGGAGAGGTGAGAACAAAGACCATAGATAAATGACTCTGTCATAACAATACCTCAATGTCCATATCTAACAACTAAATAGTAGGCCTGCATTAAGATACAGTCATTACATAGTACTTTCTTTTACCAATTAGCATGTAATGAAATATTTTATAAACTTTTAACACATTTAAAATGTTATGTTTACTGAATTTGATTTATATTTTAGATTGTGTGTGGATCCATTACAAGATGGAATAATGAAAGACTGGAGTTACAGAACTCGACTGGACAGTGATATTCTTCAATTTGATTGTTAGCATTAAATTTGATAGAATAAAATAAATTGAAACTGATCAGGTTTTCTTATGATCTGTATCTCACCAGCATAATTTAATTGTATCTCTCATAATGTCAAGTTTCTTTGGAGCACTTACCAGTGTCATGTCACATGAAGTTCACACAAAAATTATAACATAAACAGACAAAATTGTAGATCATTTACGAGTTTAAGTATTATTATTGTTCATTAAACCTTGTCATGTCTTTACTGAAATGACATTCCTTTTAAGTAAATGGATTTTTCCTAGAAATTTGTGAAAAAAACTGAATTGTTGTCATCATTAGACTGCATCATAACTTCCCTATATTTGCTATTATCTGTTAATGTTTATCCAAGCATCATGACATTAGAAACAAGGCCTTGAATATGATATGAGACATTTAAGCACAATATTTAGAGGAAGGAGGGATTGTTACTATCTAGCAATCAACATCAAGTTGAATGCTTAGCCGTTTGTGTTGGTTACATTTTTGGGAAATCAGATATGCGTGAGCCATTCGTGTCCATCATGTTCCTGGCAAACGGACAAAAAAAACGGAAGCAAAGTGTAAGCAAAAGTGAAGATTACACAAGAAAAGCATCCAATGGGGAGAAGTAGAAAGAATGATACTTTTAACTCGCATTTTTGCACAGTTACATCATCTACAACGGTGTCGCCAACTTGCCCGATATTGTCAGGTCAACTTTACATTTAGAACATCTAAATACATACTGATGTGATAACTACTACAGAATGGATTATAATGTCATATTACCTGACGACCCTTTAAAGTGCCTAGTCAACCTTGATTTTGAAGGCCATGACCAGATATTCACAAGAGGTTGACGACACGGCTAACACACAATTTATACTACACACAGCCATGACAAAATGACCAACATACCGGACACCGTTCACACGGTTAGCGATATGTGGCAGCATTGTTGACTAAGACATACTAGTAAAACACTCCTCATCAGTAAATTTCATCAAAATAAGGAATAAATTAGATCATTTAATCAAACAGGAAGATTGTAATTTTGAATATCATAACAATAGATTTATCTGAATTGCATATATATATATATATATGATGTATGAAGGAGAAGTGACATACATACATGGAAGGGTCACATCTGCGTTGTTGTGGAAAAGGCAGTAATTAAGAAAACGTGTTAAATAAAAAAGTCTCCAACAGCCGTAATATGGATTTGTTATCAGATGAACTTATAAACGTCACAATACGAAAACATTCTGTATAAACACTGAAAATAATGGTGTACACATCAAGGACTTGGTAACGGAGTGGTCGTTTACTTCTAAAATGAAGGAGCATTGCAAGTGGTGCATTAGTGCTGTTATAAACATAGGTGATCAGTGTAAACACAAGGGAAGATCAACAGCTAAGTAAATCCTTAATTTTAATTCCAAAAGCGAGAACTTTGTGGATAGCAGCAACAAACGTACAAGTTGACTTGCACCTTACTTCAT